ATGCATTGTTACATTCGCGGAATACTTAACGATGAATTTATATCTTTTAAATGATTTAAATACAAAAATAACTTATAGAAATACTAACTAATCAATTACACTTAATGCATAATGAAATCTCGGTGAAATGATAAACTATAAGTTTAAACTATAGATACACCACAATGTAATCTTCTTCACGATTCTAAACGAAGATTTTCTTTTCAAAGGTAATTTTTGTAATACTTTTTAAAACAAATACTTTCTACAATTCTTAGCACTACACTTGCATAAAACTTTATTGACGATAGTTTTCGAGTCGGGCGTGTCCTGTCGTACTTCGATCTCATTTGTTGGAGATTGAACGACATCGATCTCCTTTCCTTCCTTGATAATATTCTGCGTCACGCGCGTTGTTTTCAAAGGTTGAAACACATAGTCAAATGTAATTTCCTCGTTCTTTTCGATATCTTTTATGGCGAATAATGCGAGTTTCGGAAGATTAGGATCGAGACAATTGATCCAGACACCGTAAACCGCCAAATTGGGATCACAGGAATGATTGATGAAGTGTGATATGTTTCCATATACAGCTGCATCAACCGTATAAAGACATTGATCGTCGGTTTCGTTATAGTCCAGATCAAAAAGATATGTTCTACCTGCAGCATCATATTCTTTACCACGTTTATCAGCTTCCTCGCTCGAGATTACTTCGCCCACGTATTGTGTTACAAAGGAACCCTTCTTGATACTTTCCAATGTTTTTACACCCCAACCCCTACCGTCGTCGGTTTTAAAAATACAAAACTTTATATTTGTACCACGTTGTGTAACACGATTTAGACATGTCGAATCACATTTACATTGCTTGTTACATTCATATATCGGTGTACCTGGTTTAACGCGAATTTTTCCCTTTGAAGTATACGGGAAAATACTATCGTTTTGTAAGGAACAACATTTTGTATTAGATCCACAATTAACACAATCGCAACCAATCGGAGGATCTTCAGGTATCACTACATCTTCACCCGGAAGATAATCTTCTATATAAAAAAAATCTTCTGGAGGGCCCTCAAGATCCATGAAATTTTCTACAGATATCGATGGCTTCCCTTTACTGATACTGTTCATCTCGTTTTCCCAATCTTTTAACAATTCTAATTGTTCCCTTCTTAAATCGTACAACATAAACCGTAAAATATTCGTTTTAATGTCTATCTCCGCTTTACTTTTTTTTAAATTATTAAGTTTAAAAAAGTTGTTTATACTAGTGTAAAAAGTATTCTCATCGATTAGAGCGCAATCAATCGATTCTCCTTTTTGCTGGATTTTATTTAAAAATTCGTAAACGTCTCGCTCCGTCGGATAAAAACCAACTTTTTTCTTCAATTTTTCCAACAATTTGGATCTATTCTTCTCGAAATCCTTCAAAATTTCATTGCAATTTGTTAGATTCTCCAATGGTTCCCACGTATTATGATCGTTGGACCAATTCTTCCATTTGATCAAATACGACGTAGTACCATTTATTTTTTTCTTATTTAGGATTTTCTCCACTTCCCAAGTTTCGTCCTTTTTAGACGTCTTTAATTTAATATTATTATAATGAGGATTACTGTATTTAATATCTTCCAAAACGATTCGTAATTCTTTTAATTTGAATTTCGCGAAATCGTGCTTCAATGGAGTATCGATGAAACCGTTACATCTTGTGTTCCTTTTGTAATATACACCAATATTTAATGAATCAAATTTTTCCATATTTCGACGATTTACACCCATCTTACTAGATCTCTTCTCTTTTCTATTTGAATTAACACGTGAATTAACACGTAAATTAACACTATCTTCGCTGTTGTCTAGATAAAAAGTTGTTTTCTCATCGACTTTTGGCTGCTTCAAACGTTGTTGGACACTTTCAGGCGAAAGTGATCTTTTTTCAGATGTAGAAGACGTTTCACCAAGAATATCTGCATGTTCCATACTGCCTCTCTCAACTGGATGCTCTGTAATGCCAAACATTTAAACGACGTCATTTACTCCGAACTCAAGTTCGATGTTTCAAATTACTGTACATAATTGTGTGATTGTTTTTAAATGACATATCACCATCATTTCTAACCATCACTTTAATTCTCTTCAATCTTAAGTAAATTAAGAAATTATAATGTTCCAGAACATTTTGATTGAATTTTGTGTCTATTCTTATGATGGCCATTGCAATTATTACTATTAAATGGATATAGTTATTTTTTATAAACAAAAGTATTATTTTTTATTAAAATAATATTTAAAGTAATATTTTTGTTCAATAGTGTAAAAAAGAATATCAAAATCAATATATTTCATTTGTAAACTTTATTTTTATTTTGTAAAAATTAATTTAGTTATAAAAATTATTACCTATAAATATTATATAATATAACATATAAAGACACTTAATATATATTTAAAATCCATATGCAATTCGCCCATGGTTTTTCTAAATGAAAAAACAAAAATTATTTCCGAATGTTTAAGGAAATGAATTTATATAAAAAAGAAGTTTCATAAGAAGTTTCGTAATCAAAAGTAGATTCATTAGGCTGCAATTACTACTATTTCATTATTATTGCATTAACCACTGAATTTTTACTAGATAATTTACCTGAAACATTTAGTTTTGTTAATTACAATCACATAATATATACATTTATAAAAATACATACATACATACAACAATACATACATACATACATACATACATACATACATACATACATACATACATACATACATACATACATACATACAACAATACATACATACATACATACATACATACATACATACATACATACATACATACATACACACTCCCACACACACACACACACACACAACTTGTACCTACTTATATAATTTTAAATAATTTATTAATTAATATAATATTAATTAAATATTATTATAGGAATATTACAATTTTCACTTACCTTATATTCGTTGAACTCAATCATAATTCACATTTCCAATCACTTTCAATCACAATAAAGAATTATATTATTTATGAATTGTTATATGCATTACAAGATAACTACATTTATAATAATTACTACTGAACAGTTTGTCTTATTAAACATACTTACATACATTCTAAGAAATTTTTAAAAATTTATTTTATTGGAAATAAAGGAGAAAAATTGTACATTATTAAAAATTATTGTCTTTCTTTACTAATTGAAAAACTTTCTAAATGCAAATATATTTATATAATAAATATATTTATATACTATTATAATATTAAAATATTACTTTACAAAACCCTATTATATAATGAAAATATTATCAACTCGTTTTGAAAATAAAGTAACTTTCAAAAATTTAATATTATAAACGACAGAATGTTAAATAAATAGCAATTTAGATAAAATTATAGAAAAATAGACAACATTATAACTGAGTTGTACTTACCAAGTTTAATTGTAATATTTCTTTCCAACTCATTTTTAAAGCGTACAGTTTGCACACCTGAAATTGCCTTAACGATTGTAGATTTTCCATGCGCTACATGACCAATGGTACCTATAAAAAATTATAAAAATAAATAATTATAATACCATAGAAATATTCAATAATTTTATGAAACAATATTACAGTAACTTATTAAGAAAATGTAATAAAATAAATATCATTTATAAAAGTAAATATTTTTTTATTTAAGTTTTAATATCTTTTTACTTTATTTAGATAAAGTTTAGATAATATTTTAATTTTGTTACGATATACTTACCAATATTTATTGTAGCTTGTCTGCTAATGACTTCACGAGATAAGGCAGTTAATGTACTGACATCCTAAAATTTAAATGAAAGAACTGATGTAAATATGTAACAAAGCAAAACATTGATATAAATAAAATATTAAATATTGATAGTATCATAATAATAATAATAATAAAATTATATCAATTATTATACTAACAGTATAATATAATCATAGTACTATAAAGCTGAACAGAGATAATATGTTTTGAATACACAATAGGAATAATGAGTAATATTATATAAAAATGAAAATTTTTTTTGCAAATATATTTATATATTCTAATATGATTTCATAACTCAAGGTTAAAAAAAGCATATATTAACAACTTTTAAAAAAATAATATAACAACAATCCATTTGATATAATTTATACATTCTATATCAAGTGCCAAGCATTAAAAAGTGAGGTTAAATTGAATCAAATGTATGTATGAATGACCGTTATAAATATGTAAAGTTTATAAGTATAATTTTACTCACTAGCTTTGAAAGATCTTGTTTGTATAAATTGGGTTGACCAGTTGTCACACCTAGCCCTTCTTCACCTCCCATAATTGTTAATTCTACGGTATATATTAAGTCGGCCACGCGAAAGTCACTGTAAAAGAAATCGAGACTCCGTTACGCCTCACTTAAAATACAGTATTGAAAGGAATCAGCTTGAATGTATTCACGTCTATATCATAGCTAGTTACTAACCGGAAATCAAATGATGTACTAATACAAAATACTAAATATTGTTAACTTAATTCCAAAATGTTTTAAAAATAATATAAATATATTTTAACACTAGATCAATAAATTTAATAATAAACTATTTATCCAACATAAAACAAAAATTCATGAAGTATGAAGTTCATAGATTACAATTTCTGTGTAAATTTGAAGTTTTCTTTCCCTTTTACAATATTGTAATAAAATTTAAATACTTCGAAATACTTTATTTTGGAATAAATGAAAGTCAATTGAATGATACAATGACTTCTTTTACACGAAATTCTCTGTAATTAGTCGATAATTACACCTATAAAAGTTCTTTCTACATTGTTGAAAATGACTCAAAGATAGCGAATATCGAAAAGAATTTTCAAACATCAACATCGAATATGAAACATTAAAAAATTTTAAATTAAAATAAATTGTTTAAGAATATTTCAAATACTTGTATATTATGTATCATTTCTAATTTTGAACATAGGAACATGTAAAAAAAATATTTTTAGTAGTTGGTAGTATGTGATAACACCACAAATATTATCACTTGTAATATTTGAATTTTTTTTATTTTCTATTAAATTTAACTTCAAATATCGGATGAATGTTCAAAATTATTTGACTTATGCTCTGATTAAACTATATACCTGAAAGTTTTCAAATTCTCCAGATTTTTTGAATATATTCTACACGAGATTATTGTGACATAACCTACAAAATGATTCTTGATTATGGTTTTAGAAAAGTAGTTGAAAACTTTGTAAAAAGCAGAGGACAGTATTTTAATAGATTTGTAGGAAGTCTTTCGAACCAAGAGTTAATAAATGAATTTTCAACAGAAGAAGATATGGTAAATTAGTTTAGTTAATTCTAATTTTATTTCTTTCTTATTTTTTTATGTTATAAATTTTCGTTTATTACAGCCCAATTTAGATATAAATCCTTATATAAAAGAAAAACAACAATGTTTATTATGCAAATTAAATATACAGCCAGATTTTAAAAATATACGATTATTATCACAGTTTCAAAGTAGATACACAGGACGGATTTATGGAAGGCATATAACAGGTTTATGCAAAAATAAACAAGAACAAGTTGAAAAGGAGATCTTAAAAGCGCAACATGCTGGTAAAATTTATTATTATTAGCTATTTGTTAAGAACCAAAATATTGATAACTAATCATTTCTCTCATAGATATAATATAATATGAAATAATATTTTTTAAGGTTTAATGGGACATTTTACAAAAGATCCAAAATATGTAAATGACCCACCATTATTCGATCCCAATCGTCCATTGAGACCACATAAATATTAATGTAAAATTATGGATATATTCTTTAGATTTTGTTAAGAACAAAATAGTAATTTTCATGTTGTATATAAGGTACTATCAAATTAGAAAGATAACCAAAAATATGAGATATTTCATTATTTAATAAATGTGTCATTCTCGGTAGAATAATATACTAAAGATTTAGGTATACCCAATGATGATAATATTTCTTCCATAGTCATTACCTGTCCTCGTTTATTTTCTAAATCTTTCTGCAATCTTTCCAGAGCATCTTGGCAAGCATGTCTCCACCTTCTAATATCAGCTTCCAAATCATCAGAATTGTTCTTTCGATATTAAAAAATTAATTAGATTTAATGTCATTAAAAGATCATAATATAATATATAAAAGTTATACCTTTTTACAATATGAAATTTCGTTTTTCAAAATCTCGATTTCTTTCTGTTTCTTTAATATTCTCTTTTCTAATTCTTCTAAATCATTTGGAAATACGTTCATACTCTCGTCAATTCCCACATTTTCTATATCATTTTCGAGATCAAATCGTATCTTTTTCATAGCAATTGATTCTTGAGACAATTTTCGTTTAATATTTTCCCTACTTGATATTAAATGAATTGTTTATGTAATAAATATATATATATAAAATTTCATCCTAAAAATATTCTACTTACACTTGCGATTTAATGTTTACTTGTTCTAAACTTTTAACATTAGATTTACGTTTGGGACTCACATCAGAAGTGTTAAATAATGAACGAAACGGTTTGTTTACTGTTGGACTGTTTTTCAGTTTCATATGTGCTGAAGTTATGGTTTTTTCACACATTTTGTAATAATAAATTTGTTATTGTTTACATAACACACAATTTATTAAAAATTAATATTTATTCAATCAACTTCAAATAAATAAATCAATGTTATATGAAATTCATTCTAAATTACACATCCTAAAATACATACTTGTTTCTCTGAAATCATGCGTTCATTAAGTAGAAAGAAATCACGATTGGTGGAATAACGAATAGTCATCGTCCAATCAGTGTTGTGACATACAGCGACACTGAAAACGCGTTCGATCTGTTGTGTTTTATTCTAACCTCTTCACGGTAATGTCGATGTTTCTTCGTTAATAAAAGTGTTAATTATAAAACTTCCTTAAAAATATAAAATAATATAGAAGTTTAACATTTTTTTGTAAGTATATAAGCTCTGCTATATTGTTAACAATTATAATTTTTTTAATTATATTTTGAAATTACATTATGATTTCTAAAGGTCATTCAAATTTCGTTAATTTAAAATATTTTATATATAAAATTATAATGTTTATTTTATATGCAATATTAATAATAATAATTAATCTTTTCAGTAATTATGGATATCAGACCAAATAATACAATTTATATAAATAATCTAAATGAAAAGATAAAAAAAGAAGAATTAAGAAAATCGTTATATGCAATATTTTCTCAATTTGGACAGATATTGGATATAGTAGCATTAAAAACATTAAAAATGCGTGGTCAGGCATTCGTCATTTTCAAAGAAATAGCTAGTGCAACGAATGCCTTAAGATCTATGCAGGGATTTCCTTTTTATGATAAGCCAATGGTATGTATGTTACATAGATATTTGTAGTTTTGAAAAAAGTAGGAAAGTTTTATATATTAAAATTGCTTTATGTGTGTTTTCAGAGGATACAGTATGCTAAGACAGACAGCGATTTAATTGCAAAAATGAAAGGCACATTTGCAGAACGCCCCAAAAAACCAAAACGTGTAGTACCAGCTGCAGATGAAGAAGCAAAACGTGCAAAGAAGCGTGCTAAGGAACAAGCGAAACATTCACAGCAAATTGGATATCATCCTGGTGTACCGCAACATCCAGGATTAGTTAATACAGCTGTACCTGAACAACCACCAAATCAAATTTTGTTCCTTACAAATCTTCCTGATGAAACTAGTGAAATGATGTTATCTATGCTTTTCAATCAATTTCCTGGTTTCAAAGAAGTTCGTTTAGTGCCGAATCGGCATGATATTGCATTTGTTGAGTTTGAAAATGAAGTTCAATCAGGTGCTGCCAAAGATGCACTTCAAGGATTTAAAATTACACCTTCACATGCGATGAAAATATCTTTTGCGAAAAAATAATTACAAAGACTTTAATCTTATGATTATTAATGAAATAAATGTGTAAACATTAAATGCAAAAATAATGAGAAAGTTATCAAACTGGACATGTAGTCATATTTTAATAATTTTTATACAATATAGTTTCTTGAATATAAGAAGTATTTATTACTAAGTAATAATTATGCAAAGACCAATCATTCTTTGAATCATGTTTCAAATATTAAAAATATTTTTCACAATATGATAAATATATACACGATTTTGTTCCAGAATACAACTGATCTTGCTTTCGCTTATGATAATTATACTATTTAAAGCAATTTATCAATTTTAATTTTATAGTGGTTTACGACAAAAATGATTACAAGCATAATTCTTTACTGATTTTGATGAACAAAATCGCATTTTAAAGATAAAGGTTTAAGCTAGGACATGACTTCCTTGTATTTTTGAAAAAATGTTATTTTCTTTGAAAAAGATGTTTTTTCGAGAATAATTTTTTAAATATACAATATATTCTTATAAACAAGGTTAGATAAAAATTAATAAGAATAAATGAAGCGGTATGTTCTTCCCATCTACAGATTTATCCGTCCATACAAACCACTCCAGATTCTATTATTTCTTCAACTATCGCAGCAGATCTTGTGCCAGTATTGCATGTACACACTTCACCATAAAAAGTTCCTCATTTATTTTTGCATTCCAAAAATAAAGTAAATCAAACATTAAACAAAAATTGTCTCGATTATGATATTGTTATGCGCTTGAGTAAATAAGAATAAATGAGAAATAACAAGCAAAATAAAAATAAATGAGAACTATGTGGATATGATGATGAACATAAGTATAATATTAAATATAGTATTTAATCCGAAAAGAATAAATAAGAAGAAATAAGAACAAATAAAAATAATAAAAAAATTAGAAATTTTCAGAGCGTTTCTCTAAGAAATTATTTAAAAATTCTTCTATATCTACACTGTTTATTTATTGAAGTATAATAAACATGTAAAGTGTAAATAAATTGGTAAAGTTTAATGTTCAGTCGAAATTAAATTAAAAAGAAGGTTTATTTTATAAAATTTCGCGAAGTAAATTCCGTAACCGACCTTTAATAAATAACTACTGCAAATTAGAGTCATTGCATCATTGAAGAGGATCTCATTCAACTTCAATGTCAATCTATCTCATTTTCAACCAGCTACAAATCATCCACCCTCTATTTCGACGTAAATCGCGGATGAGTGTTTTGAAGCCATTGCAGAACTTCTTAAGTAGTAAATGAATTTTTCAATTTCTCCGATTACTCAATCATGTCAAGGACGAAAGGTCTGAATTGGCACAAATGATTGATTGTAATTAATTAGTAAAAGAGTATTGAATGACCACGAATAAATTTGTTAGTTGATTTACTCGTAAACGATTTTTTGTGTTTTGATTTATTTATTAAATTAGAATAGGGTCTTGTTCAAACGTATTAATTATAATTATTTGAAATTTTGATTATTTCAATCCATTATATAAATTATTATTAATATAATGGGTTGGTAATCTTAAATATTTTTCTCTAACGAAAATAGTAAAAAATCATCATTCAGAATCATCATAATGATGAATGAGCAAGAAGACATTCGCAATGGATAATCTCTAGATTACAAGCGAAATTGTATAATTTGTTTTCTAATAATTAGTATAATTGCTTGTAAAAAGGAGCATCCAAGGATTTTTTATTACATTTTTAAATAAAAATGAATCAAATATGTAATCAACTTTCCTGGTAAACAAAAAGTCTCGATAAAGTCATTGCTTTTGAAAGAGGAAAGTCGAGTAAGTCATTGATAGAAGAGACTTGTAGAATCACAGTTCACAGGCCCTAGAATAAATTAATCAATTTTTAGCATAAGATTTTCAGCAATTAATATACCAATTCTTGTTTCTCTCCCTATACTTTCTCGATTTTTTTTTTTCAGGAAAAAACTCGAATGAGTTTCCTTACTGGAAAAAATTAGGATGAAATGATATATGTTGATTTCTAATTCCGAATTCCATCGTCGTCACGTTCCGGCTTCCTTTTCTTTTCTTTCTCCGGCTCTCTTCTTTATCTCATATTTCTTCTCTTTCTCTCCTTTTTTTAATTTTTTCTTTTTCAAGCTAAATCATCGCCAAATGAACCTTCTTCTCTATCAATTTTCTTCTTCTTTTTCGATTTTTTTTGCCTTTCTTTTCTATTTCTTCTTTCCCTTCTTCTTTTCAGATTGGATCATCGTATTGGAACAGAAAAGATCATCGAGGAAAGAACCATCGGGTGGGATCCTTCCAAGTTTCTTTCTTTCGGTAGGAACAAATCGAACTCTATTTTGGTACTCTGGTTTTGGTCAGGTGGAATGATATTCAATATGTCTTGCTCTGCGTTTCATCGTTGTCACGTACGCACACGTTCTGGCTCTCTTTTCTATCTTATATTCTTCTTCTCTTTCTCTTCTTTATCTTCTCTTCTTCTTTTCGAGGGATCATCGAGGATTAGATTCATCTTTGATCGGATAAGTCCGATGTATCGTCGAATGGTTTGGTTCATTGTCGATTTTTAGACGAGAATACAGGAAAGATAGGAAGACGTGGTGGGTGTTCGTGGGCGCGATTAAAAATTCTACCAAGGACTTCGTTTTATTTACGTATTATAAATTACACAACACAAGTACTATCGGGCGAATGGCTGCATATTTTAATATATTTTCAAAATCCCTTCAAACTAATTCTGATTAAACACTAAAGTACTAAAACTTTACATTGCCAATAATATTTCTACAAAAATAAATAGATAAGATATAGTTAAATTCAAAGATAATTCTTTAAATTCGCAAATTTATATACTAATTATATGTGTTAATTATATTTATTATTTTTTATGCTCTTATCGTGAAACAAATGCGTACCAACGTCGTATTTAATACGGATTACTTCGAGACGTACGCATCATCAAAGAAAAATATACATATGAGAGACTGAAAAGTGTGAATTTATAGTCTACTAAACTACTTATTCTACCTAACGAAACCAATTGTTATGTACACGTGAGAGGGGAATAACCAACAAGCTTAACACTGATACGATAGACGCATGGTGGGGACTGTGTTCCCCGCTTATACTCGTAGTTCATATTTTGTCCGTACCTGTCGCTGAGGTCACATACACTTCGAACAAAAGATAGTGAATCTTAGTAATTGAACGAATAGATAATTATGAATTATGCGGGCGAAATAAGATAATAGAAATAGAAGAAAATATAAGTGTATCATAATTTTTAATTAAATAAAATGCCATTTATATTTTTGCTAGAATGCAGTAATGAGATGCAAGAAAAAGTATACTTTTTTATATGTTAATAATTAAGCATTATTTTAGAAAATTGTGTACCTGTATCTATATGTTTTATGCGTCAATTGACCAAAAAATCTGTTTTACCTTTAATAATTATCGAGTGAGCATTGTTTCAAACTCTCGCACTATATTCAAAAATATACTGTAGTTACCAATCTACAATTTATTCTAATCAATGCCAATTATTTAGTGAAATGATATCATCCTTGCTTATATGATTCAGTGATACTATAGCTGTTCTGTCGTTTGGTCATACTCGCTTAGTTTGCTTTTTCTATTCTTATATTAAATTTTTGTCCTGTCAACATTTATTTCTTATTTATATTGAATTTGATATATTTAATCATAAGGAATTAAAGTTTTTTTTTTATTTCATTTTTTATACGTATTAAGTCGAAAATATGCCGGTGTTTCACACAAAGACTATAGAAAGTATTCTTGAACCTGTCGCACAGCAGGTAAGATATTTTATGAAAAGTGGTTATATTCAATTATCAAATACACAATCAATTTCTTAAAATTTATGTATTTATATCTATGTATGTATATATATATATATATATATATATATATATATATATATACACCTATACTCGACACAAATGAAATTTATATATATATATATATATATATATATATATATATATACATACACACACACACACACGCCTTTATAATTAAAATAAATTTTGCAAAAATAAAAAAGATGTCTCATCAATCAATTTTTAATTATTCCATCAATTTCCATTACAACAGATATTGATATAAGATAATCTTCTCCAACTTAAATTTACTCAGTAATACTTGTGTTACTTTATATAGAACTATGACATCATTCTGTGGTCATGGAAGAAAAGTACTAAATTCACTTTTAGAATTGTACCATGTTCTTAAATGATTTATGAAATCTGATCTGTCTTTTCTAATATAAAAGTATATAGATATATACACATACATATATATATATATATATACATATATATATATAAAATTTCAATGTTAAGTTGACATTTTTAAAAATAGAATATCATGCAATAGTAGAAAATTTTATGCACTTATAACAACATGAACATTAATAGTTTTATATTATTTCAAAAGTATTAACTATTTCAAGAAAATGATTGTATATTATAAGAATTAAAGATATTTATTATACTATAGTAAATATTAATATTATTCTGAATTTGAAAAATAAAAACCAAGATTTTTATGACACATTTCATATGATTCCAATATCATTTCCTCTCCATTTCTAGAAATAGCCATGAAACATTAACAGACCTTGTTGATGCCTACTAGATTTATGAAAATGAAACACTGAACCTTACCAAAAATGGTATCAGCTGTTTAGCATGATGCATAAATTAAATCTATATTCATAAAATTCTATAAATGTTATACAGTATAATTTATTTTTTTTTAAACAAAATTCCAATGTATGTTTATTTATTAAAATGTATAATAAAATTTTGTATAATGCATAAATAAACATAGATATATAAAATAATAGAATATTTATGATCTAATATGTGTGTGTATTTGCGTATTTGCGTATTTGAAGTAATTAAGCTAAAACAACAATAATAAAATTATCTTCTTATATCTGAAAAAAGAATCAAACATAAAATTAAAGTAAAAACCTTTTGTATAATATTTTGTCTAGGTTTCAAGACTTGTCATTTTACACGAAGAAGCTGAAGATGGAAATGCAATGCCAGATTTGGGAAAGCCTGTACAAGCAGTTAGTATGGCGGTGACTAATTTGATAAAAGTAAGTTTTAAATCTATTTTATAAGTTAAAAATAAATATAGATGTTTTTCATTTTGTTAGTAATATAATTATAAGTAAGGCATAATGTGTTAAAGATATTGTTGATTATCATATAAAAAATTACAGGTTGGCAAAGAAACAATAAATTCTTCAGATGATGCTTTGCTCAAGCAAGATATGCCTGCAGCATTGCAACGTGTTGAGGGTGCTTCACGTCTTTTAGAGGAAGCATCTGCAATGTTAAAACAAGATCCTTATTCTGGACCTGCCAGGTAAATAAAAAGTATAGAAACATTTTTCAGGATATATCTATTATAGATTTGAAACAATATCTTACTTAAATATATTTCTTTTATAGAAAGAAACTTATAGAAGGTTCCCGTGGTATCCTGCAAGGAACTAGTTCTTTACTGTTATGTTTTGATGAAAGTGAAGTACGAAAAATAATTAGAGAATGTAAACGCGTTTTGGATTATTTAGCTGTTACTGAAGTCATTGAAACAATGGAAGATTTAGTTCACTTCCTTAAAAATTTAAGTCCATGTTTAAGTAAAGTATCAAGAGAAGTAAGTGCTCGTGAAAAAGAATTAACTCATCAAGTTCATAGAGAAATCCTCATACGATGTTTAGAGCAGGTAATTATTCATTTTATTACAAAGAATATAATGGTAAATATAATGATATTATTATAATTAAATATTATATATATATAGGTGAAAACTTTGGCACCAATCCTCATTTGTTCTATGAAAATTTTTATTCACATTATATCTCAAGGTGGAAAAGGAGCTGAAGAGGCAGCTGAAAATCGTAATTATTTAAGTGGACGAATGTCTGATGAACTGAATGAAATAATAAGAGTTTTACAATTAACAACATATGATGAAGAGGAATGGGATGCTGATCAATTAACAGTATGATTTATAGATTGTACTACTTGTAATATCTAAAGAGTAACAAAAGTTATTATTAAATTTTTATGTTAGGTATTAAAAAAAGCACAAAGTGCCATAGAATCTAGAATACGTGCTGCATACGATTGGTTGGATGATGGGCTCGCTTTACGTGGAGGTGTAGGAGAAAAAAGTCTTCGACAAATAGTGGAGCAAGCATCGCGGTTGGCTGAACGATATCTTTCTTCTTCTCAAGCAGAACCACTGTCGAAATTAGCTTCACAAATAATTACTATGACAGATGCTTTATGCGAACTGCGTCAAAATGAAAAAGGTTTGATCATTCATGTGTACATATATTTATTACTGCATCGTACACTATTATAATAATTTTTATTATTTTAGGAACTACACCACAAGCAGAAGCTCTAGCGCGTAGTATAAAAGAAAAATTAAATGAATTACGCAGTTCCGTAGCATCTGCCCTAGTAGCTGCTGATAAGTCAGGAACAGCTCAAACTGCACATACCGTTGCTGGTCGTTTGGAACAAGCTAATAAATGGCTCTTAAATCCACAACAAGATGATAAAGGACTTGGTCAAAAGGCTATAGCTTTGATAATACATGAAGGAAAAAAGGTATGTTGATTATATTGAATCATTAAGCATGCTTAAATCGTAATTAAATTATATGAAACTGTACGTAATGAACATGCTTCTTTATTTATTGCTGTTTATGTTCTTAACACTAATATATTTCATTTGATAATAGTTCTGTCAAAATGAGTTATCAAGAATAAATCCTTGCTTTTTTTTTTTTTTTTAATTAATATATGAATTCTAATATAATTTTGAACACATTCCGTATATATTGGGTTGGCAACTAAGTGATTGCCGGATTTCAAATAAGAAGGAAACGACAAAATGTGCAATCACTTAGTTGCCAACCCAATATAATATTTATTATTAATCCTTTTTATTACTTTATTTTTTACGAATATTTAATATTTTGCTTGAATGCTTCAAATGGAAAGAACCAACAGCATGTAGCGAATGTAAGTCATGAAGAAATTTTTATTGCAGTATCAAAATGTATTGGATCTAAAATAGATGTATAGATTTAAAAGATTTTAAAGTTTAAAGAATCTTTTTTAATTAATATTACTGTAAAATTTAGGTTGCTGAAGGTTTACCTGGTATACATAAAGTAGAAATTCTACAATTGTGTGATGAAGTTGATAATTTATCTCATCAACTTGGAGATTTATGTGCTCATGGTCAAGGAAATACGCCAAGAGCTCAAGAAATCGCACGTCAACTATCACATAAATTGTACGAGCTAAAGAATAGGATACAACAGGCTGTTGTGTCACGGGTAGTTGAAGATTTCATTGATATTACGACACCTTTAAAACAATTTACGGATGCTGTCTTGGCACCAGAAGGTACACCTGGAAGAGATCAAAATTTCAATGATAAAACTCATGCTCTTCAAACATTTTCTAATAGAGCAGCAAAAACGGCTAGAATGGTTGCAGCTGGTGGTATGTAGCTTCATGATTACGACAACACTACTTTTTATTATGTGATTATATTGTTTCATTTTTTGAATAATTATAGGAAGCGGAGGTAATAAAAAACTGGCTGAAGCATTAGCTGCAAGTGCTTCACAAGTTGAATCATTAACACCTCAATTGGTTAATGCTGGCCGAATTCGTATGACATATCCGGACAGTAAAGCAGCCGATGAACATTTTGAAAATCTTAGACAACAATATGCCGAGACTATGCAGCGAGCAAGAGCATTGTGCGATGAAGCAACTGATAGTGGCGATTTTATCAGAACTTCAGAAGAACAAATGCAAAAACATACATATCTTTGCGAAGAAGCTATTGCAAAATCTTATCCACAGAAAATGGTTGACAATACAGCTGCTATTGCAAGGTTGGCTGATAGGGTAATACTCGTGGCTAAACAAGAAAGTGATAATAGCGAAGATCCTGCTTTCATTCAAAGAGTTAATCAAGCAACTGATACTTTACAAAATAGTAAGTTTTTATTTTATATGAAATAAAATTTAGTGTTTTGTTAACATAATAATTAACCAATTTCATAATACAGGTATTGCCCCAATGATCCAGAATGCAAAATATGTTACTATCAATACTAATGATAACACTGCAGCATATCATTGGAGAGAAAGTAACCGTGCTGTAAGTGTTATATGTATAATAAATACTACATTATACAAAAATTGTTCATGTAATAACTATTGCATTTTTATTACTTACAATCACGTAGCTTTTATCCAATGTCGGACAAGTACATAAGGCTATTGTAGTACATCCTGATATGGTTCAACCACCATCAATGTCGCAATTGCATATCACCGATGGTACGTATTATGTTATCAATTTATTTATTATTATTCATTCTGAATGTATTTTTTTTTAGTAGTAAATAGAATATATTCTTTTATTAAAAAAAGAATATTAGAATAGTAATTGATTGCATTAAAATGAATGCATCATTTTCATTATCATTATTCTACATCTTTTTTATACAAATGAAAATATTAATTTTTAACAAAAATCAAGCATGGATTAAAAATTCATTTAAAAAAAGAAAAAAATACATAAATTCTCTAAAACTGTATTCTACTATAGTTATGTAAATTGTAGCATATGTAGTCAGGTGGAGGAGTAGTGGCTAATAAGTAACATAACTAAATAATAGACATTCATTATGCGACTGTTTTTCACAATGTACATAAAATGAAATTTAACTATGAAAATATCTTGCTCTACTTCCAATACAGATTTCAACAAATATTGCAATGATATTACACTGTTTTTGAAAAACAAAGTTATTTACAGCAAATGTAATTGTTTAAAATTTATATTTCACGGGGTAATATAGAAACTTAATATGTTCTTTACAGAGGAACAAATGCCAAGTCAACAATATAATTACTTCACAGATAAAGGTACTTATATAGGCATGAAATTATGCATGATAACTTATTTTATATCCATTTATGTACCACAAGAAAGTTATGACAAAATAGTATGAGAAGAAAATAATTTACAGTTTTATACATTAAGAAAAAGTAAATGTTCATAAATATTTTTGAAATAATAGTTGGTCAGCCTTTGAGAAATCAACCCTCACCCAGCAATTTACGCGTGATCAGCCCTACACTAGGTTCAAATAAACCGCAACATCGTTCTCTTAGTCCATTACCAAAATGGGCACGTGGAGGTATTTACAGACAGTATAAAAAAAGAAAAAAGAAAAAAAATTGTAAATGTTAATCATAAACGACAAGTTATTTGAAATCGAAATTAATCATATTCTCTTGTCAGGAGATAACCCAGATCTCCTCTATCAAGAACTGGCTTCTGACAACGAGTTGGAAAAGTCAATTTGTGCTGGAGGTAAACCAAAAAAAATTGTTCTTGAAAAAAAAAAAAGAATGATTATATTTTTAGGGCTATTTGTTGTTATCAAGCATGTGTTTAGATATAATGTAAAGGGGATATTTACATGACATGTATTATAATTTGTACATTTTTTAAAAGATAGCAACAAATGAATTTTAAAGTATTTACAAATACTTTCAATGGAATATACAAGATTTAAATGTAATTTAAAGAAAAACAGTTTCTTTAATATTTAATTATTTATTTAATTTTTATACCATATAAAGTCATGCATACTAACTTTACATTGCATGTATTACTTTTTATATCATTTATCATTCATTTTTATTTATGCTTATTTCTTCCCTCTGACTAGAATGGCTACTCATAATAATTAATTAATACAATTAATACTTATTTACTAATTTTGTATAGTCTATATAATTATGTGTTTTTTTTCATTTTTCTGCTACATGGAATTACCCAGGCTATATTGATTATTATGATGATGGTAATTACTAATGTGTTTATACATTTATAAATTAAAACAAGTTATCTAACACAATAATCTAATATCTTGTACTTTATAGCATGAGAAGATATTTAATGTTTCAGTTTCTTTATAGAACCATATTCTTCATTTTAAGATTATGATGATATGAAACCTGGAATTGTTTGCAATATTTCTAAGTTTTTCCTATTTTTATTTTATTTTCTATAAATATAGATTATTTAACGTTTTGTCCTACAATAAAATTATTTGTAATATTACAAACAAACATACTGAGTTATTACTATGAAATTTTATTATAAAGAAATTGTCATTTCTAATAGAAGTAGCACCACCACGTCCACCTTTACCTGGTGGTGATATTCCACCACCAAGACCTCCACCTCCAGAAACGGATGACGAAGATGAAATGTTCATGCATGCACCTCAACCAAATCAACCAATAATGGTACATTCTCAATTGTTTGATATAATTAAAAATTTTTTTGTAAATAAGAATAATTACAGTTAAGAAATTCTGATTATAGATGGCTGCACATGGTTTGCATCAAGAAGTACGGCAGTGGTCAAGCAAAGATAATGAAATTATTGCAGCAGCTAAAAAAATGGCTGTCTTGATGGGTAAATTATCTGGTTTAGTTAGAGGAGAAGGTGGAAATAAAAGAGATCTTATAGCTTGTGCTAAAGCTATAGCCGAAGCTTCTCAGGAAGTAACACGTCTTGCAAAAGAACTTGCTAGAGAATGTACTGATAAACGTATTCGTACGGTATGTCGTAATTTTGTTTATTTATTTAATTTAAATAAAATTTTGAAAAAAATAATTTCTTTATTGTTTCCTTTTTAGAATTTACTTCAAGTTTGTGAACGTATACCAACTATTGGAACACAATTGAAAATTTTGTCTACAGTAAAAGCTACAATGCTTGGAGCACAAGGTATGTCTTTTAAAATCTTTTCTTTTTCTTTAAAAAATATTGAAATATTCTTCATATTTTTTTATCATACTAAGAATATTCATACAATGAAACTAATTATTAATAATAACCTTTACATATTTCGATGAGAACACAAATTTTTCTGTAAGAAAATTACTTACATATATTAATAGCAATTTTTATTAACAAAAAAATGAAATTCTTTATGCATAGAGATGCTCCCTAGCTGGGAAGAATTGATGCTTTATGGTAAAAGAATTAATAAATTATGCTTGATGTTATATATCACCTTTTTCTCTTTCTCTTTTCGTCACTTTTTATCGTCTTTAATTTTTAGATATTTTACTATTTGCAATTATCTCGTCAAAATGCATGCAAATCTAGGATTTTTTAAAATGCAGATACACAAATTTACAATGTCATGTTTAATATTGCATTAGCACTGACTGAAAGTATAGATTTAGAAAGATCTGAAATCATAAAACAATATTATTATAATATAAGAGTTAAATGGATGCAATGAAAATAATTAATATGTTATATATTTTTGATTGGTAAACTAATTATATTTTCGTGTGTTACTGAAAATGTTTAATGCTATGCCATTGGCATGACTCTGTTCCCCATGGTGTAGATGAATTAATTGGGTGCAGTAAGTTTATTCATATAATTAGAATATGTAATTGCAATAGCTAATATGATTATTCCTTATAGATATATATTAAATAATTTTGTTACATGTTAATAGACAGTATTTTATATACATATTTAAACATGTGTATTAAGATGTAGAGATTTTCGGTATCTTAGACGGATTATATTATATTTTTTCATATCTTTAATGTTATCATAATTTTATTATTATGTACTTTATAAAAGTGCATGTCATCCCAATATTTAGAGCACTTCATTCTATATCTAGTGTAATCTAAATTTGATAAACACGTAATTTACAGATACTCCGTAAAAATAATATTTACTAGTGATATTTAAAAATTATGTTTATGAAATAATCCAATTAATATTTGTAGACAAAATTCTTTTATTTAATAATCATTTTATTATCTTGTGATATATTAATTTATATTATAATATAAAACAGGTACGGAAGAAGATCAGGAAGCAACTGATATGCTTGTTGGAAATGCTCAAAATCTTATGCAAAGTGTGAAAGAAACTGTACGTGCTGCAGAATGTGCAAGTATAAAGATTCGTACTGCTTCTGGTATGAAATTACGTTGGGTACGTCGTCAACCATGGTACCAATATTAAAATGAAAGTATATACATAAGTACAAGACCAGAAACAAAAGTGCTATGAAGGTTTTTATATCGAATTTAACAATTTTTTTTTAACAAAAATATTACATTATTTAAATAGACTTCTTTTTATATGATACTACATGCTTGATAGAAAAAAAATATTTTAGTATTAAAATTTTTTTAATATCTACATTAGTTATTTGTTCCTGGGGGACGAATATTTTATTATAGAATTTCACGTCACGATTTTTACTGAAAAAAAAAATAGTGTCAATTCTTTCATAATACAGATTGCATAAATAAAGAAAATTAGAGTACTACAATATATTTTTGCAAATTACATATTATGCGAAATTTGTATTAGATGCTATTTGTATATATATATATATATATATATATGTATATATATATATATATATATATATATATATATTATGTTGACGTGTACCAGAGTAGAAAATGTGCATAACCACATTAGAGCAATAAGAAATTATATTTTTGTACAAAAATATATGCTATTCGTATAAGTCCTCCATAGCTATATAGTAATTTCATCAATCTTGTTCAACTGGTGCTAACACGTGCAATATTGTAGTGGCCTACAATACAAAGTAACAATTCTAAGCAGTATCGTACCAAATATAAGAAACTATTTCAGTAAAATCTTGATTATAATTATGCAATTTAAATAATTATATTTAATCTAAATAATCAAGACTTTACTCTATATATACTAATAAATGATATAATAAGGGGCACATATATTAAAACAGGCCTATCATACAAATTTGAATAATTATAATTAATAGATTTATATTTATCGAATTTAACAAATATATTTTACAATAACTTCATGTAGTTTTGTGTATAATAAAGTAATTTGTATTACGTAATTTAAATATAAATGGTTTTTTTTTATAAGATACCTTTACAAAGATAGACAGACAGATAGATAAACACACACACCTATAGTTCTATTTATAAATATTTTTATTAAAATGTTAATATTCCAGGAAACATATTGTCTTTTATTAATAGTAATATTATAGACTGCAATAATTTTTAAAATGCGTTTGTTTTTTGGGAACTTCTTATTTTAAATGGCAATTATTTTAAAGCAAATATAAATTTTATTGATTTTGCATACATACCTACGATATTTGTAAAATTATTAAGTATCAACAAAAGAGTCTCTTTTTATAGAATGCTGTGAAGGAACTATAACACCTGGTATTTTATTTTTAGGTATTTTTCCAGGACGTAAGTAAGGATTATCTATACCGTCTTGCTGAGCAGTAGTTTCACTTGTTTGTTCTGTATCTTCATTTGGTACATTAACACCTATAAACATAATACAACCATGTACTTGTATAGAATATTTTATTTGTAAATCTTGTCTCATACCTTCCTCTATTTCTTCTGTTTTCTGTTCTTTTTTTTTTTTAACAGGAGTTGATTCAAATTGAAAGTCTTGGTCTGTTTCAAATATTTGATCTTGAGGTAAAAGTGCTGAGAGATAACTAGGAAATTGTGGTTTACAAGCAATTACTATAAAAAATATTAAAAGCTATGTCATTCTTATATCATTCTTTTAAATAAAATAATATTTATTTATCATGTATGAAACAGGACAACCGAAATACTTACGAGGAAACATACTATTATCATCTGTCAAAAATAAACTATGCGTTTCCCCAGTTTTTGCAATGAACCTTGTTAAGGCTCTTTCTATATCTCGTTTCTGTGTAGCAGCTTTTTCCCGTATTGCTTCATATTCAGTTACTGGTTGTTTATGTGTCTATAAAACGTTGCATAATGATCTTGATAATTTAAAAAAAATATATATTATAATTAAATATATATTAAATTTAGAAAGTTTACTGGTGTTCTGATGTATGCATGTGGATCTGGAAAAGCTGGTAAATAACTTGGTATATGCGAAGGATGACTTTGTTTTACACCAGCCTGTAAAATATTTAATTGTTTTGACTGGGTTTGTTGTTGTAATGGAGGTAAAACTGTTCTATTTGTTCTTTTCCCATAATTTTCTAAATTTTCCAATTTTATACCCATGTTTATTAGCCCCAATATAACATCTGCGATTAGGGGTTCCGTTCTCCCAGATAGTTCGCAATAATTTCTTGCAGATTCCCCAACTTCCACGATAACTACACAAACATAAATAATATAACAAATATAAATAAATATCACAATTAATACTTAGTTTAAAAAATAAAACAATTTTTTATACAATAATACAAATTCTACGATAAGAACCTACAAGACTGAAGCATCTCTGTAAGAGTTTCTAACGCTTGTTTGTCACAAGTGTCATAACCACATTCTACTAAAATACTACAAATAACATGATTTAATATTTTTCTTCGAGTATTAACAAATTGTATATCCATATTGTTCAAAAAATAAATAAAACGGATTCCACACAACAGTGCCACTGCACACTACACCTTATGACAGTACACTCAAGTACATTAACAAACTTATATTAGCGCACGCGCAAACAATAATTTGAATAGACTAGTCCGACGAGTAACTTAACGTCTTTTAAATATATATAATTATTATGGATATATTAGATTATAATAAATAAAAAGTAATGATCGAATATATGTTTTCAATATATTTACTTAAAAAACATTAAATAAGATCTTTTCTGTTAATATTAATATAAAATTGATAACGTCAAAAAACGCATCAAATAATATTTCTTATTTTAACCAATAGGAGCGTTTTATTCTTTTTTTCATTCCGAAATTCTACCAATAAAATAATTCCTATACTTTTCTGGCTATCATCATATTGGATTTTCTAATACTTTTTTTTCTTCAATGATTATCCTGTGTTTACATTCATGTGATATACCATGCTTTTAGTAATAATACAGTGACGGATAATTGAATATCGACGATGGCATCGGGGTTAGAGAGCTACGTGAATCGTATCCTTTTCTTTTAATGTTGTTCTCTATATATTATTCTATAAAACATATTTTTCTTAAATTATTTAATAGATACAGTTTCTATTATTACTTCGGACGGTAGAAACTTTATTGTAAGTATTTGATATTGTGTTACATTGTTTCACTTTGTAACAACACAGTTTATATTCAAAACTTGACATATAATAGTAATAATAATTTAATGAAAAAATAAATTTTCATTTCTCAAATATTAATAAAGAAATTGTTTATAAAAACTTGTCTAATTTGTAGCTATCTTTGTTAAAAATAAAATGTTATTTCTAATAATATTAAAAATAAGCTTCATCATATTATTTTCTAATTTTAGGGCACATTAAAAGGTTTTGATCAAACAATTAATATTATATTGGATGAATCACATGAGAGAGTATATAGCACAACGCAAGGTGTAGAACAAGTTGTTTTGGGTTTACATATCATCAGAGGAGATAATGTGTTAGTATAATTATTATTATACAAATGATAACAAGTTTTATGCAACATTGAAAATGTATACATTATAATATCTGTTTTATATAAAAACTGTTAGATCAAGAATAATATAAAAATTTGTTCTTAGCTTTTTTCTTAATACTTTTGATACGACTTTTTTATGTATTATACAATATTATTTTAAGATGGCTTGCAGGCCTATTTGAGTATATTCTATTTTATTACTCATTGATTTTCAAAACATTGTCAAGACTACTTTGTTTGACTTTATATTGCATTATCTTAAACATTACATAAAATAAATAACTACATTTTAACAACCATTTTTTGTAGAGCAATTGTAGGAGAACTAGATGATGAAATGGATGCACGTCTAGATTTATCAGCTATTAGAGCTGATCCATTAAGCCCTATAACACATTGAAAGTATATATTATATGAAATGTTTGAACTATAAGGGCAAGTATGTTTGTATTTATACAGAAGATAATTCTTGGATGATTACATAAATGCCCATGTTTTTATAATCATATTTAATATACTTGTATTTAAAAAATTTTGCAGAGCAAATACACAATTATGTACATTACTAAAATAAAGCAAAAAAGTAACATCCTATATGAATTAACTGTACAAATATCTTATGATATAATAAACTACGTTTTTTCATAAATGTAATTTTGTTTTATGGTATTTTAACACGATAAAAGGAAATTGCAATATCAATTTGAATATATTAAGTAATTTAACATAGTTTAAATGATGTGTATACGTATTTTCCATTCTATTGCATATGCCTTCATATTATGATGTTTATTTTGTAAATTAAATTTAAGATCTAAAATTTTTAGAATAATATCATTTTGTAAATTATTAGTAGTGAATCTGCACCAATGATTTAAATATAAATATATGATTTTTATTGCAGGTATGCAAATTTGTTATAGTCTAATCAGGTAGATTAATATATACAAACTAATTATATGATCTGATAGAATTTTATAAATTCTAAGAAAATTTTGAATTCCAAGAAATTATCCAATTAACAACAAAATATAAATACCTTCTGGATTACCATACTTATAAAAAATTATTCTATATATAACAGATTTGTAAAATTGATACACTATTTTTTTACAAAATATAACATTTTTGCATTAGGGTTTATATATATTGTAATTTTATTTGTATTAAAAAATCTGAAAAAGTAAGCTGGACTTGGTGCCAATTATAATACATCGTATTAAATATAAATATGTTTTATAGAATCAATGTATTATTTACTACATATTCTTTGCTTATGGATATACAAAATGTGTTCAACAGAAGTCAGCAGAAATGATGCTGTTTGTGTTGTAGAAAAATTCAAGTAAATTAAGAATGATATCTATATATATATATGTTCCATTTTTTAATTTATTAAAATTTATTATGCTCGTGAGAGTTAATTTAAAGAGAACTATTTACTTTTCATAACATAATTTAATATTTGCCAGTTGAACATTAGATTTATAATTGCACCAAACTTTTTTTTTATATATTGTAATTAAGATAATGTAATACAATAAATAAAAACAGGAACTAAGATATTATTTTGTTTTTTAATCTATTAGCAAAATCTATACAAAAATTAGTCCTATAAAAGTGAGAAAATCACATATAGAACAATGCTTAAATAAATCAAATATTAAAATTGTAAATGGTGCATTTATAACTGAATTTTGTATAGTCAAAAAGCAAAGATGGCATGTTGAATTTCTTAAATGAAACATTTAGTATGTATATATGCGCGCAAGTGTGTATATGTACTATATATTGGAAGACATAACAAAAATATAAATCAATTAGAGTACAATCTAATATTTTCCTATTCTGCGTACCTTAATTACTAAATGTCTTTTTGAAGTAATCATAAATACATGATATATACAGATCTTCCTTAAAATTTAATTATCTGTATTATCAAAAACAATATTTTCCAACTTTATTTGTTCTATATTGTGTTTACTCTATATGCATTTAGCCTTAAGAGCAGAACACAAAACAGTGCAATTATCGGCACTACATATACACACTGTATGTTCGATTTTATATATTAAAGTATGTAAGGACAATTCCTACTGTCAAACATTTGTACAGTTGACAATAAAATAATTGAAGCGAACCATATAGCTCATTGCATTATATAACAATGCGTGCTATGCTAGTATAATCATACATATGAGAATTATCATCAGGTACTTAAGTTATGTACCTACACAAATGGATGAATTATTGCATTAATTATTGGTCACAATGTTGGTCCTGTTACGATTTCGTCTCCTAACACGACCACCGCGTCTACTCTGATTTGCACCGTTCCAATCAGGTCCACTATCCATGACAAAATTTGGAGGATTTGGCCCATTTGGATTGAAACCCATTAAGCTAGGATCTGCAGGACCAGTATTTGGACCAAAATTGTTGAAATTACCTCCAGAATATGGGGGAGGCCCATCATATGCAGGAGCAACATCAGGTCCAAAACCTACACCAGGAGCAGGACCTAAAAGTCCAGCTCCATTATTGCGTTGTGCATTATAACGTGGATCATAGTTCATTTGATTTTGTGACATGACTGGTCCATTCATATTCATTGTTGGTGTCATGTTTGGCATACTAGTCATACCCATTGGAGGCATATTTTGTGGACCCATAGGAGAATTCATCATGGGACCCATGGGTCCCATATTTCCAAGCATTGGATTTGGTGACATAGTCATCATATTTTGTGATCCTGGCATATTTTGTGTAACAGGCATACCAGGGGGACCAAGAGCCATATTAGGCATTTCCATTGGTTGTTGTGGAGCACCTTGTATCATGGAAGCACTAACATTCTGTGAGGATTGATTAGAAACTTCGAGCGCTTTTCTTCGTGGATCGGATCGAATTTGTGGAGGTGATTTTGGCGTGTCTGGCTTCATTGGTGGTGGAGACATAGGAGAATCAGCTATTTCAGCTTTACTAACACGAAAAATTTTTCTAAGACGAGGATCATATTTCACTTGTGGATCATTTTTTGTAAGCTTTAAACCTGTATAATCAGGTCTTGGTATATCAACGACATATACCTTGTAAGTCATTGGAGGATGGGAATTGTAACTTGCGTCTATTTCAGTGCATGGGATATGTGAAGGAGCTGGTTTGAATGGCAAACTTAACATTTGTCGCAAATCAACGTCCGATTTAGTGGATGTATCTGTAAATCCTGCACCAACTACTCTAAGATCTGTATCTCCAAATCCAGTTTGGAAACGTTGCCTAAAATCCATGTCTTTCCTTCGAAGATCTTGATCTGCCCTAGTTCTAAGATCTGTATCCATGTTAGTATCTACTGATGTAATACCAGAACTGTAGATACTCGTTTCTAACCTAAGATGTTTCGTTTCTTTTTTAGGATCTATCCTATTTGGACTGCTTGGTTTCTGTTCATCTCGGCGTTGTCGAGGATCTCTGGACATTCGAGGATCTCTAGATACAGGAGCTACTGTTGAACTTGTACCAGGCGACGACCTAGGACTTGATGCTTCATTTTCAATTTTAGAAATTTGACTTGAAACACCAAATGTAGAATTATTAGCTACTTTAGTAACAGGGTTGTATTCAGTTGCAGAATTATTTGTATCTTGTGTAGATTTCATTTTTGAAACTGAAGATTCTTGAGTATTTATAGTGCTATTTTGCTGAGTTTGTAGAGTTTTACCATTTGTTGAACTTTGTGCTTTAAGAGATGATAATAATTTAGATACTTCTGCACTAATATCGATTTTACTTAAGTCTCCAAGTTTATCTACAATAGCTGCTGGTTGAGGTATACTTGGTGCAGAAGATACAGATTGAAATTGTTCTTTTATTATAATATTTTGGCCCTTTTCAGATGGTTCAGATTCGTCTTTTGAAGCATCTTTCGAAGAAAGTACTATAGTTAAATTATCACCATCGTCGTCATCATCATCGTCCGAATACCAATCTTCTAAAATCTGATCTGTACTACGTGCATTGTTCTCATCTTCCACATTTTTAAAGCTATCCTGTGCAGCACGTTGTTGCTGCTGGATACGTAAAAATAATTCTTGAGCTTTTTTTGGTAAATGGGATGGAACTTCTTGTTCTTCCGTAGAAGGTGAAGCTACATTCGAAATATTGCCTTGTTCGTTTGATATCGAGGATTCTATAACAAATAAATCAATATAATTAAAAGATCTATATATACATGTTCTTATTTATAAGAACATTATTAATTTTTAAATTAATATAATTCATTTGCAACGTTTAAATAATAAATGTCAGCAAAAATTTTATAATATTATCACACCTTTTCGTGGTTCTACTACTTTCTCTTTATCATCATCTTCAATTGGCATTTCAATAACAAGTTCAGTTTCATCATCTTGATCACTTTCTTCATCGAGCTTGGATTTACTAAGATTTGCAACTTCATCAGCTATACTAACCACAGGTGGTGGTTTTTTTGAACCTTTTAGTAACTCCCTCAAATCTATATCCTTTGAATTTTCATTAGTTGACGTATTTTTTCTTTTCGCCTGTAAATTTATAATAATTAACTTATGAATATGAGTGAAATGTTTCACTCATCAAAATGTTTCTAAACAATTATATAGTATGTATTGTTATAGCGTAAATCAAACTTATATCTAATATTTTATGTCTTACTTGTGCTAAAATTTCATCTTCTTCTACATCTTTTGTAAAATCTTCTTTATCTTTGAATTTATTTACAGTTGTTTTATTAGAATCTGCATTAGTTTCAGTGTAAAAATCCATGCTTGGAACACATGACTGCAATACTTGACTTTGTTGCAATTGCTGCTGAGTCGCTAAACCTAAAGCTGCATTAGGCAATTGAATACCAAGTTCATTAGCTGATTGTAATAACATAATTTGTTCATATGGTACTCTATCTTCGTCAGATCCCCAACGTGTCTTTTTCCCAGAAGGTTTTCTTTCCCTAACAGTGCTTTTCTGTTGATTGGATGTTTCCTCTACAATAATAATTAAAATATTAACATTTGATCCTGATTCTCCATTAGACGCGCGCGTGTGTATGTGTATGTGTGTGTGTGTGTGTGTGTTCACCTTTGTCATCCTTGTTTTCATTTTTATCTAAAGTATTTGTTGGTGCAGGCACATTCAAATCAAATAAACTAGGAATTTTCTGATTCGTTGTATCTTGTCCTTGGGCGAGTGCTGTAGCTGTATTATTTATCATTAACATTGCTCTTTCTCTACTCAAACGTGGAAAATCCCCAAGAATTTCTTTTGGTGCAGTTTCAAGATGTTTCAAAAGAATGCCTTTTACCTATAACAATATCGAAATATGTATATATTATTTTTATATTAAATTTTCATAGAAAATACTATTTATTTTTTTACTGCATCAATAATAATAATTACCTGCTCATTTAAAGGTTGATGCGAAAATTTACAGTTATCACCTTGATTACACTTCAAACCAGTATGGAAGAACTTGCATGGAAAGTCATGGTGCATATAAAGACATTTGTCCCTTTTAGCACAACAGTCCATAAGATAAAACTTACATAGTTCCATCTTTCTGGGAGGTAAAGCATTATGTGAGAAAGGACAATCATCTCCTCTGTGACATTTTCCTTGCATGTAATACAAACATATGGATTCAGGATCTTGTCCATGTTCGTTGGTTTGAATTCTTCGCCCGTTCCTTTCATTCCTCAATTGTCCACGGCCTTTATTTTTTCCACCGCGTTCATTTTTTCCACCTCTACGACCTATAATGTTAATATTAATAATATATCATATCATTTATATTTTTTATGTCTCCACATAAATAAAAAATATTTTAATAAAAATGAATACCTCCTCCTCTTCCATTACCACCACGCTTATTTTCATTTTCTCTGTGCCGATTTATGTTGGACCTTTCTTCATAATCAGAATTACTATCAAAATTCTCATGATCATTAGTATGTCTGGGAGAACTATTATCTTGAGAATCTTTTCTAATAGGAGAAGCACCTCGAACAAAAACCATTTCATCGTCATCTTCATTGCCATTCTCATCATCACTTAATTTTCGTTTCTATAAATATTGTAAGAAAATTATCAATAATATATTCATTAAAAACTAAATCTAAAAAAAAATTAGATGTGAACAAAATAGTATAGAATGTAACCTTTTGATCTTTTGAACGATCTTCATCTCGCTCATCACGCACTCTTTTCCTACTCTTATTCCTATTAGTTTTGTTCTTTGATTTTGAATCAGTATTTCTACCCCCATCCTCCTCAAGAGCTGCTCTAATAGCTTTCTCTACATCACCTGCCCAATCCTCTGTTGGACTTTTATATTTTAAGTATCTGTCATGTTTAGCAGTTGTTCCTTGAATAGGCTGCTTTTTGTTCTTATTAAACTTAGAATCAAAATTTTTATTCTTTGATACATCTTGTTTTGAAGATGGCTTAGCAGATTCAATTACTTCGGTCTGTGGACGAGTAACTGGCTCATCATCTTCATCAGAAGGAATTTCTCCATCTTCCAAGTCATTATCATTATTACTGCAAAAAAAAGAATACATAATTGATAATTAAGAAAGATTCAGCCAATGAACCGATAGTAATATAATATTCGCAATTTGTCCATATATTTTTAATTTATAAAACTTAATTTATAAAAATAAAATTTATAAAACTTAAATATATATAGAAACTTAATGTTTATAACAACAAATATGTTTTGTAATTAATTCATATATACTTTACTATGTTATTTTATGTGAATTTATATAACAATCACTACTTGCAAAGATATTAAATTATATAATATAGATGTAATAAAGAAACTATACAAATCTCTCATAACATTTTCTATATATCAACAATGCTTTTTAATAAAATCTTGTGAGAAATTATCATTTTAATTGAATTTTAATATGTATAAAATGAATCTCAAATATAAAATGTACTATTTTATAATCTCATATATATTTTAACTTGTATATTAGAGATTTATATTAACTTGTATATGAGATTTTCCTAAAATCTCACTGTTTATGGATCATTAATAGAATAGTATAATTTTATCTAAATATTTACACAATAAGAAAAAAAAATATATTTTGATATTATACGCATTAACAAAAATACATGTATCTTATTAGGAAGATCATGTATTTTGAAGATATCATAGAAGTTCGAATTTGTTTTTTCCGATTAATCTCTAAATAATTAAAATATCATCAGAATTTGTACTACAAAGTTAAAGGCATAAATGCGTGGAGAAAAATATTCTCCAATGCTATCACCTTATCATAATTATTCATTAGCGACGATTTTACATGCAGAGAGCGTTTCTCTAACCAAAGAAAGCATCCTCGAAAGATCGAGGGAAGCTCATTATTATTGTCAAGGACAAATTGATAGCAGTAAAGAAAATTGAAACTACACGAGTTAGACAGAGAGAGCTTTGAAAAAACTTTCAGTCGAGTCGACTATATACGAACGAGGTTGACGATACTAGCCAAGCTGAAAACATTAAATACGTTTGTCGGAAACGACTAATGGCATGTGACACGTAAAAACGATCAATGACGATCTAAAGGAAATGCTTTCTCTTTTTTTCTCTTTCTGTCTCGTATCTCTCACTCTCTGCACAGACTAAATAACGTTTTATAAATAATGAGCGATCTAGACTTCGTTTGAGAAAATTAATGAGCACAAAAGAGCTCGTAGAAAAGAATTGAGGAAAATCTATCTCTTCGAATAAATCTGCCGTCTCTCCGTCTCTCTCTCGCGAAGCACAAACGACAACGACGAAACAAATGAATATACATATTCATGAGTGCGCGTGAGCACACGCTTAATAATAACGTATGTAAGTACGTCGTATAATCCAAAAGCATATAATTAAATCGGGTTGCTACGAAGTCGCGTTATCTACGCTTCGTCGTTTCTATGCTCTTTGTGTTCGTCTCTCTTGAAAACAACGAAACAAAACAAAAAAGAAAATCAAAAGATCCAACATAATGATTAAAAGTTACCTCACCATACTAAGTATCTTAACATCATCATTTAAACATTCATAATCATCTTCATGATTTTTCATCATGATTCTTGCTTCATATCTCTATAAACATAATAAGATACATCATTTGTAACATCACATTTTTTACGAAGCATTATTGTCGTCGTTGCAGCATCACTGATAACATTTAAAAAGTCAATGTCATCGGCATCCGTCCAAAAGTTTCTTCGGACGCACGATGTTGTGTGCATCGTTTTCGCACGAATACGCGCGCGTTTATATATATATATATATGTACTTTTTTTTTAGAGCAAAGTGCACATACGATATACTTTCGTATATTCATTGTATGTCGTCAATGTATATACGTGTGTGTGTGTGTGTGTGTGTATGTGCGCGCGTGCGCGCACGTATGTATCAAGTATAGATAACGCGTACATACGACGCGCGTGCTCACGTATCATGTACTTGGTGTTCAATTTGTAAATGTGTTACGTAGTATATATACATGGCGTGCAAGTGGTATATATATATACATATATATATATGTATATATATATATACATATCATATATATAAAGTCGAAGTCTCAAGATCGAAAAAAAAAAAAAAAAAAAAAAAGAAGAAAAACATGAAAACTCTGTCCTCTCCCGCTCTTTCTCTCGTCGAACAACAACATCGAGTACCAAATACAAGTTTAAACTAGTTTCAATCTACGTTTAAAATTCTCGCGAATGGCAGAGAGCAGAGAAAAGGTATTTCGTTATTTTTCGTAACAGGTATTTCCTAGAACGCGAGAGAAAAAAAGTAAAAGCGCTACATGGAGCGCTAATACCGAAAACATTTCGTAAAGGTAGTAAATATATATATGTATATATATATATATATATATACATGTATATACGCGATGATTTTAATTTTATAACATGAATGCGTCATAGGTACGAGAAAGACAATATCATACCTCATTTTTGTGCTACATAAAAGTCTCTTTTTCCTAACTTTTAGTCGCGATCTCTCTCACTCCTGGATTTAAACAAGAACAGACATTCTCGTGTTGTAACCTTCTGTCTGTCTCCGCTAGAAAAGAAAGCGGACGGTGGAGGAAGAATTCGTAAGGCTTTTCAAAAGAAAGAGATTCGCATGTACCTGCTGCTGAATGAAGGGGATGACTAAAAAAATCCCCCCGATCATTCACGGGAAAGAAGCATCGCACTAAACGCGCCTACGTGACACGTAAGGAAACACGGTTTGGCGAGTAGTATATGTACGTCTCATAGTGCGGCGAATCCGCGTTCACGATAAAGACGACCTTGACCCCCTCCCGCCCCTTTGTACCCGCCCACCCTTTACAAATGTTAACGCCTTTATATGCGCTTTTACAAATAATTCCAAGAAAGGAATCAGCCTTTTATAGACGCACATTTGACGCCATCATTATTTTAACCATTTTTCTTTCAGAGATCGACGACATCGACGAGATACGTATCTCAAGTAACGTCGCAATATTTAAAAAAAACCGATCGACGAATGGTACCTTTTCCTCTTTTTCTTTTTCTTTATTTACCCCTTCCCTTTCTCTCTGCCTTTTTTTCTTTTATCCTTTTCAGATCTTCCGGAAGAGAAACAAATATTGACCAAAGCGAATTCGTGAGAGGACGGAGCCTCGACGTGTGTATGTATGTATATATGTGTATATCGCGTCGGGAAGGAGAAGATACATGTGTATCGTCTCTCATACGTTACGTATATGCGTCTCGATTGTGTGTAGTAAGAGCACCGATATAGTAATACAGTAGAGTAGTGTAGACTAGTAGTAGAGTAGAATAGTAGTAGTAGTAGTAGTAGTAGTAGTAATAGTACTAATGTAGTGGTAGTAGCAGTATTGGTAATAATGTATAATAGCAATAGCGACAGTCGTGTGAAAATTACGTCTGTTTCGTCATTGAATAAAAAATGTGGAGGCAAACCTTTGGATTAGAGTCTCGGCCACGGAAACACTCTCTAATGCCATTGTTTTGTCCCGATCGATCGTGTTTTGTACCATACGATATACCACTGTGGCCCGAAGTTGATCATTCGATCGATAGACGCGACCACACACGACGGATCTTTGCTCGTGGATTCGCGTGCCTGTATGTGATCATTTGAGACTTTGAAAATAACTTGATAATGGGCAAATAAACTCAAAGGAAGGCCCGATTGTCCGTTTCTATCTCTCTCTATCTCTCTTTCTCCCTCTCTTTCGCTAGTCCTCTCTCTTTCTCTCTCTCTTTCTATCTCCCTCTATATCTGTCGGTATCTATTACATACTCGCGTGAGCGCATCCCCACGGACAAAGATATTAAAAATTTTTGGAAAAAAAAAAAGAAAAAAAAAAATATTCTTAGCCTCTTTCTCCCAGCCCGAATTTATGTCTGCTCTTAGAACGGGCCTCGTTCACCGAACGCTTCTGTATCTCTCTCCTCTCTCTTTCTCTTTCTCTCACACAGAGAGAAAGCTAAGCTCGATTAATCGTATATATCTCTCTAGAAGCTTTTTGAAATTCTTTAGAATCGATATCGCACTTAAATTTGATAAGACATATTCACTGTGATATCTCCCTATCTGTCTCTCTCTTTCTCTCTCTCGTGGTTAATTAAATAGAAGAGAAGAAAATGGCGCGTTATTTGTCATGCCACAGAGCGACGTCATTCTTGCTGACGTGGCATATGGAACGATCATTATCCGTTTTGGACTTTTCCGTTTATGTATCTCTACTACGCGTGACAAATAATTTCGATTTAAACGAATATCATGGGATGCGACAGTATATAGAAAGACGGTTAATTTCAAACATGAAAACGTATATCGAGAGAGTAGTTATTTCAACGCGTTCAAGGTAATATATGAAAAAACGTTATCTTCGACGAAAAGATGTACGGACAAAGCCACGAGAAGCTTGCACTTCGCATCCCGACGTGATCAAATTTGTCGTCTTCCGTGCTTCTCTCTGTTATGCGGGAGAGGGGGGGGACGGAAAAGGGATCGCATCCATGGAGGATGCTCCCTTCCTAAAAACGACCGCAAGAGGGCAAGCGTCCAATGATTCTACGTATTTCTATATGCCATATATAATATTAAGCCCGACGTATTTTCGTTTATTTTTTTTTTACGCGTCGATCGTTGCGAAGCAAAATGAAATTTTTTCGTTTTTCTTTTTTTATCGATTCACGGATTCGCGCGAGTATCGTTCATGAATCTTCGTCGATGTGGTCGGTGACGACGCGACGATGACGTTTCGCGTTTTTCTTCCGCGCTTTTAAAGAAAATCTTATTAATTTTTCTCTCTTTTTGTCTCTTAGTCTTTCTTTCTCTTCTCTCTTTCTCTCTCTTTGTGTTGGTAAGAGAAGAGATAATGAACGTTTGTGTGAACGAGACTAGTGACCGTAGACAGGCAGACAGGCAGGCGGACAGGCGGGCAGGCAGACAGGCAGACAGGCAGGCGAAGAGTACGATTATCTTTCGGACAGAGCGTTACTACTAATTGTCAGCAAAGATAGTATAAAAATGTAGCAATTGTGAGTACGATGAGCGAAAACTTCAAAGATCAAACTAAACATGGCCACATCTGGAACTATTCTGAGCGGGCGGCTGCACGGAACCTGGGAAAGGCGGTCGAGCGAGCGGGAGCGGGTCAGGGGTGGGGGGGTATGGTTACCTTCGCTTTCACCAATCGTAGAACATACGTATGGATCACGTGCTTCTCCACCCTTTATTTGGTCTTCCCCCCCCATTCCTCCTCCGTTCTCACCAACGCTCTTTCTTCGCGCTCTCTTCTCTCTTCTCTCTGCCGCCATGTTTCCATCACCACCCATTCCGTTAGCACGCGTCATTCTACGCGAAAGAAATTCCTGAAGTTGTCGAGATCGTTCCCTCGTCTCTTCCAACGCAATGGCGGACTTAATAGCATTACTAACTATCGTGAAAACATCTAATCTGAAAGTTGCTACTTTTGATCAATGATAGTCACGGTTATCGAACATTGCAGAAACAGAAAAGCGTGTTTTGTTTCGAAACAGACAATGAACAATTATTTTCTTTGTAATTATCGGTACTATCATATTACTCATTATATATATATATATGTGTGTGCGTGTGTGTGTGTAAGTGGATAAGTTATGTATTTATACATATTAACAATATAAATTTTCAAAAAAAATTATTGGATTAATAATTTTAATTTAACAAAAAGGCATTGTATACATAGTATATAATATAAAAATATATTTTTCTCTTATTTTATATAGCGTTATTATATTATAATACTGTACAATAGTTTGGGACTTGCGTTATAAAATCATATAAAAACATTTGGTTACCAAATGTAACTTTTAATAATCTCAACATATTACCCTTTTACCTGTTCATGTGAACGATGGTGAAAGACAAATGAAATACCACTAGACCAACATTGTCGTAATGGAATGTCTGGTAAATGTCTAGGATTGTGAGCATGTCGCCAATCTGATAGATCAGAATTACAATCTGATTGTTCTGGTGGACCCTTTACTTCTATTCCATTAACACATCTTGTACATTTAAATCTTTAATATATAACAAAAGAAATATAGTATTCCAAAAAATGTCAAATCGAATGTACTAGTTTAAAACTTACTTTGAATGTGTATCTGAAACTGTATTCTCTTCTAATTTAAATAAGTCACGAAGATCGTTCAAAGTGAAATGTCTTGCAACATCATCTTCTTGATCGACTACTGTTGAACTCAATGCTTTTTTGTGTGCTTGTCTTTGAAAAATTTTTTCCTCTATTGTGCCAGTCTATAATGAACATGTCTGATATATTTTGTATTAACATTTCTTAATTAAAAAAGATTATGATTTTTGCATTGCTTACACAAAGAAAACGATAGACAAAACATGGCTTTTTTTGACCATCTCTCCAAACCCTAGCCATTGCTTGATCATCATTAGCAGGATTCCAATCTGGATCAAACATCACAAGACGATTTGCACCGATAAGGTTTAGACCACAACCACCAGCTTTAGAACTTAGCATGAAAATAAAATCATCACTATTTTGATCATTGAAACTATCTACTATCTTTGATCTCTTTTTTATTGACATGCTACCATCTAATCTCACATATTTGTAACAACGCTTATGACATAATTTTTCGAATAGATCAAGAGTTTGCGTATAGTTAGATACCAGAACTATTTTGTCACGTGTTGTAGATCTAATTGAAGCTAAGAGACAATCTAATACCATAAATTTTCCTGATAATTCAGGTAAAATTTCCCTAAAATAAAAAAGTTCACAAGATATTATATATACAAGGTATTATATATACAAGATATTATATAATGCATAAGATGGAATATATTAATTAAATATACTTTGTGCTGTAATTCGGTGGCAACAATTTCAAAGCATTTTCAAATCCATCTGATTTCTCTATTATTTTATCATATACTAAATCGGGATGGCAACATAATTTTTTCAATAGTGTGATTGCAGATAGTGCAGACAGACTTCTTCCACCTTTCTTAGAAGTTTCAGAATTGTTTTCTATATGCAACATTTAAAAACATATTAATAATAAATATATTTTTATTTTACTATAAGATAAAAATCTAATGTAAGAAAAAATATTGCGAAGATAATACCTTCCATAGATTTTTTTATGCTATCACTTTGTATAAAATTTTTATAAAGATCAGTTTGCAATTTTCCCATTTTTATACAAACTACTAGCTCATGTTTTAATGGTAAATACTTTGAAAGTAAAGCACTAGTACGCCTAATCAGGCACTTATTAACAATAGTTACTAATTCCGTCAATCGTTCTTGAGCTAATTTACGTTCACCATCTGTTGCTGCAGCATCTTGTCCACGAAGTATTGGTATTTCAAATTTTCGTCTAAACTCCTAAAATGTGAATTATTTTGTAAATAATTATACACATTATTATATTACTAAATTATATAATTCAACTTACCTGTGCTGTTCCTAAAAGTCCTTGATTTACAAAATGAACAAGAGAAAAATACTCTAAAAGATCATTTTGTATAGGTGTCCCACTAAGTAATACTCTCCTTTTGGCTTTTAGGCCGATAAGAGCCTGATATGTTTGATTTTCAGAATTTTTCAAACGATGTCCTTCATCACATAATACAAGGCCAACTTCATCTTGATGTAAAACATGTGCATGTAATCTAAATGTTTCATAACTAATAATTAAAATTGGATTAGCACATCTACGTCCATAAGTTTTCATAAAGCCTTTAAGTTTAGTATCAATATCACTTTTACTTCCACCATCTATTGCTAATGGACGAACTCTGCTATTAAGCCACTTATAAATTTCATTATACCAATTTTTTACTAAAGAACTTGGTGCAACGATAATAGCTTTTTCTATCAGTGGTTTGCATTCTGGACCTTACAAATAATTACATAGATAAATCTTTTTATATTTTCTATAAAGAAAATAAAAAATAATGTATTGTTACCTTGCTTTAACAGTGTCCATAAAAGAGTAATACATTGCAAGGTTTTACCAAGACCCATTTCATCTGCCATGATGCATCCATATGCACCTTCAATGCGTTTTCCTGTTACACATTCATACATAAATTTTACTCCTTCACGTTGATGCGGTCTTAGAATATTGCATAGTAAGGGATCAACTACCACATGTACAAGTTGTTTTGAGCTAAGAAATATAAAATGTTTAAAATAAATAACAAGTAGTTCATAGTTTTGTATTAAATCTACAATTACTAACGGATCTAGTTTTATTCTTTCGTGTTCTGATAATTCAGGAGGTATATAAACCACTAATGCATTGGCTTCATTCGGATCATGTAGAGCAGTTCTTGGACCAGATAAACGTATACCAAGCGTACGCCCAGATAAATGATATCCAGGAATTGGTATTTTAAATGGTTTACTTAATAATTTTTTGACTCTTTCTTCCTGTAAGTTTATTATATATTACAATAATATTTCTATTAAATTTTACTTACTGAGATAATAGGCATGACTTACATGTTCTGATATTACACCTTGCGTGGCAGAAATATCTTCAGCAGAAAGAGTCGCAGCTTTATACTCAGGTATGTGTATATTTTTGGCATTATTTCTACATACTCTTTTTTCACGTTGGATTATGGGTTGTGTCACAAACTCCACCGTATTAGATACATCCGAAAGCAAAGGACGTTTACCTCTTTTGCTTGGAGCCAAAGAACGAATCTTAAATTAATAATACAATAATATTACATACCAATTTTATTATTTATTATAATATAATAAATAATTTTGAATTTGTTATTTGTATAGTATAAGAATAAACTTTCTTAGCAATAGTAATCTTATGAAGATTACAATTGATTTTTTTACGATATTCGAATTAAAAGAAAAATGAGGTATTAGAATCATACCATGTTAATTATACAATAGAAAATTATATGTGAATCTCAGTCAAAACAAATAAATAAACATAATAAAAAAAGAAAACATTTTCTGCATGACGTTTAACCTCATCCAAACATATTCAAATTGATAACTGTGAGAACAGTGGTATAACTTTAAAGAAATAAAATTCCTAAAAATCAAATGACATCAATATAGAAATCTACTAATTTAAACAAGACCAGAATTTATTTGATTTACATTGTATAAGACTATGTATTTAAATAAGGATTGAAAAGAATATTAATTAAAACATTGTAGGTACTTGGTATTTTCTTAACGATAATGCATTTGGTGGTAACACTGTAAAGAATAAAATGGTAGAGTTCATAGATACCGCCATATTCAAACAGCTTAATTTCTTTTCTAAAGCTATTTTCAGTATAGGACAGGAAATATTAACTAAACTTGTGTTATTGTAATATAATTTTAAAGTCGTTCTTAATCAAGAAATAGGTTAACATTATGGTGTGACAATATTTCTTTATAATAACTAAAAATATAATAAATGTATTACTGTCACATATGAGATGCATATATATTTGTGGTTTCTTTATTAATTTATTAATAGTACTCATGTTTATTTGTGTAAAAAGTTTAACAACATTCTTTCTAAGTACTAGATCTTTTGACAATAACATAAAATAAAATTTCAACATTTTTCTTGTCTTAGACTGACAGAAACGTATAACACATTGATTTCTAAAAAGAATATTAAATATTTAAAAAATACTAAATTATAGTGCTGTTTTAAAGAATTAAAGAAAGCAACTTGGTAATAAACCAAGTAATACATTTTCTAGAGGTTAGATAGAAATATAATATAAATTATAAGTACATTGTGGAATATTACTTAATTTGTGTTATTAATTACTAATTGTAACTATATGATAATAAATAATACGAATCTGTCAATCTATGTGTACCTAGATTTCAGAATTAATTATTCAATAAATAGGAAATATATCAATCATAATTTATCTATCCAACACTTGATAGCTACAAAAATATAGAATTCCGATATAGACTATAGTTGGAAAAAAGCTTTTTAAGTGCCAAAACATTGAAAAAAAAAAAAAGAAATGAAGAAAATTGAAATATTGCACTACATTCGCAATAATCATAAGAATAAATAAGTTTACATTATTTCAACAACGAACGTGATCAAAATATATTACGATTTTCAGAGTGCTTACACTATAAAGTCATTTGTATTTATGGTTGGTTCCTAGATCTCAGACACAAACTTTTGTTCGTTGCATTTTTTATATACTTTCTTTTATACTTTACATTAGTTTTGATTTTCTCAAGTGGCTTTGTAAAGTATAAAAGTAAGTTGAACAAGAGTTTAATTATTATCATCATAATATTTATTATTAATATTAATCTTATTTTCATTATTATTATTATTATATTATTGTTATGATTAACGATTTGAACTAAACAATCACACATTGAATTTAATTACTGTTGCTTTAACAGCCACTTTCTGTACTGTAGCTTTTTTCACTGTACATATACCTTAGTATTAAAATCTAATTAATCTAATAAGTAAAGATCACAAGTATTTATCTTCAACAGTTCAAGATTGAATCTAAGGCAGACCACAGAATTTTATTATGCAATAGATTTAGATGAGATTGTATAAAAATTGACCTTTAGCAGGAGGCATGGTGTAATTGCTATGGACATTTTAATGTAACATTGTTTAATTTTTAATCATGACTTTTAACTATTGCAGATATCTATGTGAAAAAATGATTCAAATATGATATATATTGAGAATTTGTCATAGAAAGTAAAATTTACTCGGATCACCAAGACTCTGGCTAAAGGTTAATATAAAAATGGCATTTTTCTCCATAGAGAACTGCTATATATAATCCGCTGTTAAATTTATCTTGCATTTTTAATGAACTATTTTCTTCTTTTTAGATTGAGTGTAAAAATATATTAAATTCTGAATTTTATATAATTAGCCAATTATAAAAAGCATATAAATCTGATGCAAATTAAAGTGCTCGAATACATGATTTACTTGCATTTAAAAATGTAATGTTACTTGTATGTTATTAACATTACAATTATTAATTTGTGATTGTAAAGAAATTTTTGTGGTCAAGTCCTTGATAACACCAATTTATATGTGATAGTTTTAGGAATCCTTTTAGTCTTATTACAGTTATGCAGAGAGAAGACATTTGACAAAATATTGATAATATACTCGTAGTATATTGTTACATGTTTAAAATGCTATCACCTGAGCTGGATTCGCACAATCGCCTATTGTCATTCTATGCATTGCCATTTCTGTTATACCATGATAATGAACAAAAGCAGCAGCGATTACTAGCACATGGAAGATTTGATGACTCTGAAACTAAAAAGCAAAAATTCTTTGACTTTTCGAGCTTACATAGATCAAGTTTCGAAATAAATACCTTTAATCTATTTTAAAAAATTGACATAATTACAGAATAAAATAATAATATAACAAATGTTTTGATATTTACCCAAATATCAAATTTTCCTGGAAAAAATCGCTCAGGTACTCTTAATGCATAAAATAGTGCACCCAATATATATAAGCATCCCATTAGTATCAACCAGCCAAGGGATGCTTGACTAATTGCTTTGAACCAGCCTTCTGTTATAGCATAATGGACTGCGGGTATTACCTAAAAATGTTTCAAGTTACAAAACAAAAATAACTTAATATGTTACGAGTTCTATATTCTATTTTTTTCTTATTTTTTATAATAGCATTATATATACGTATACACGCATGCACGCATGCATGCACGCATCATACGGAGAAAAAAATGGGAGGGAGTAAAACTTACCCCACTAAGGCCAAAACCCATAAAAATACCAGCTCTAAGAGGCCTATAATTGGGTTCACCAAATCTTTCCCATAATGATACTACGATGCTTGTTATACCAAGTACAACCACAACAGATAAATAAATAAGTTTAGGTTGATAGTCACAGTAAAAACCATAATAAAGCCATGGTACAAAACTGCCCATGATGAGCATAGCTATCCCACAGTAATCTAATTTAGAAAATAATTTTCCTACACATTCGCTGTGGCAGTGGACAGTGTGAAAGGCAAATGACATTCCTAAACAAATTATAGCACCTGCAAAGAAAGTACCGAATACTAGTTTTTCCTCCAACTGGATTTCTATAGGAGGTTGTGTTAGGAAAAAGATAGCTATGCCAATAAATGCCACACAGCCTATAAAAAGAAAAATATTATAGATATGCATAATAAAAATGTTTATTTCTTATTAAATTATTTACCAATATAAATACATGACAATTTTAACTTACCAAGTAAATGTGTCCAAATGTTACCAGTTTCTGTATGAATACGAAAAATACTTCTGAAGCAAGCATAAAATGACGGTAATGGTGGTCTATGACCAGCATGTAAGAAATCATTATCTTGTAACCACCGAGGTAAATTTCTAAAATGACATTGCTTCCAGGATGCTTCCCAGACCTATAATATTCTTATAATGTACTTATAAATTAATTTATAACAAATAAATTTATATAGTTTGATGTGTGTATGTATATGTATATATATATATATATATATATATATATGTGGGTGTGTGTGTGTGTGTGTATAAAAGTTTATACAAATAGATATTTGTTTCACATTCGGATATTTTACCTTACGAACAAATTCCTCAGCTTGTTCAGCAGCATTGTGAGCCAAGGCACCGAGATCAATTTCATCACTTAATACTCCTGCTTTTAATACTTCTGTCATCTGAAATATAAGATGATTATTATATTAGATGTAAGATATATAAATATTTATTAACAGCACGGTACCTCACAATCCAAAAGATGATCATCTTCAGGAGTAGATGGAAGGGGGCATCCAACCCCATCCTCCTCTTCTGCCAAACAGCTAGCATCATCGTCTTCTAATAATTCTTTAACTTCATGCAAACCTGGAATTTCACTATTTAGCAATACACGATCGCTCCATGGAATTCTATGACGAAGTCCTAAGTCTCCTGATGTATTAGGATTATCATCTTTGTCTTCGATAATATCATTCTCGTATTGCGACATATTTTGGAAATATTATGGTCAATCTTTAACCTACAAAACAGTATAAGTGTATTTATTCAATTTTTTTTCCATAAAAAAATCAGTTCTATATTTTCATATTAATGCAAGAAAATTTTATTATAACTGATATATAAAATATAATGAATTTAATATTTGTATTATAATATACGAAAATTTAATTTTGATATTATTAATAGCGCGCGAACATAATATATAAAAAGTATAACATTAAGATGACAACAATGTAGCTATATTTTCATCACAGCTGACAGAATTGTAACTGAAGAATATTATTGGATATCGTAGTATTCTGGAAATATTAAGAACATATCTATTAATTATCACTTTTACTGTTCTTAGAAGTCACGACTTCTTATATAACGATATTATAAATATATATTTAAAAAAAAATAATCGACATATCCATTAACCTTGTTATTTACCAGTTTATCTACTACGACACTTTTTCATTGGATATAAATATCTGCCGTGTATTAGATAACACGTAATAGAATGTCGTTTTATTGAGCAAGAACTTAAATATGCTTCTACATATCAATAAATCAAACCTATGTAGATTACATAAAATATAGGACAAACAATTTTTCGACTCAATAAATATATGTATTACACATATTAATAGTTGGTAAATATTTTTAAAATTAATCTGCTTTTTACCTGTTGCGTGACAAATATTTTCCCAGTTTATTACATTTGAGTATTATAATATCAAAAAGGAATACTAAAAAGATGTCAGTAAGTTGAATGCACCAACCACGAAGTCTTCGTGTCAACGGAATTAGTAACTCTGTCTTGTTACCACGACAGAATCCGAAGACGTCAGATTACATATAATATACCACGTGCATCGAATTGTATATATATATACACCCACACGTAGAAATGTGTATGCAATATATATGTATAGTATAATTGGTGTGTTCGCTACTGTTGGAAACTTCGAGAAGAGATACTTATGTCGTCATAAAAAAGTTTTCATAACAATTTTTTGGGTTCGAAGTCGAAAATTTGGATGCAAAAACATTTAAATTCTTGTCGTTTAAAGATATAAAATAATAATTACATTAAGTACTGTGATAAAATATATGAGTTAAAGGCAAAGAATGTTTAATACATTCTATTTATTAGGAAAATTACGTGAGAATTAGGTTATCATTGCGAATGACATTGTACATATTCAAAAATCAAGACTACTAAAGACAAATATTAATACAAATAATATTATATAATAAAACGTAATAAATAAATATTGTCTTACTAATATACGAAAATTTATTTAAGTAAAATTAATTTTATGGGATTCATATAACAATAATTGTAATTGAGCTTACGTTTCCCAATGTGTGACTGAAAATAATTTCGATTAACGAGATATTCCATCTAAAATCGAATAAAGAATATTAAATAACGTAACGTAAATGTGACGTAACGATTCCCATAAACAATATATTAGAAATGATAAAGAATTAGATGTTTCTGTTTCATGTGTATTATTTAACATCGTTGAAAACTGCCTTTAATATTTTGCCTTTAAAAAGCTACTTTGATTGGTTGTAGAAAGAATATATATAATTTAATTTAAGTTATTACTTTTTATTAGAGATATTAAGAATAATAAATAACTTAAAAATGTATACATCTGTTAATACACAGGTGTTTTTTTTTTTTAATTATACATACATAATGTACATTTGAAATAAATTAAATATTTGTTCAATATTTCTTATGTATGTATTTTATTATAGTAGGATGATTGATTGATAATTCGTGATTAATTTACCTGTATTATAATATAAATAGATAAAAAAAATGTTACTTTTTACTGATTATTTCTTATCGGAAGTAAATGTACAGTCTACTAATAAGATAATTCTGTTAAAATGTGTTTTGTAGTCGATTATAATATTTTTTGATCATGTAATATTTCTTTCTACAAAGTATCATATTTTGCATAATTGAAAGAATTATTTGTATTTTATTTATATTTGTATTTATTTATTCTTTCTATTACTACGAATTAATAAATTAATATAAAAGGGATAACTCTTATATTGCAAGTTGTATATATTATAATAGTTAGAAACATATAAGAAGTATGATGCATTTTCTGTAAAAATGGACGTAGAAAATTTGTCAAAGTATATATATATAGCATCAGTCGTTGCATTTTATTGGTAAGTAATGTTTATATTCAAAGAATGAAGTTATTTTATAAAAATAATAAAATATTTAATCATTTTTAGGGTTATATCAATTTTGACAGTATTTGTAAATAAGGCACTTTTATCTAGTGAAACTGTAAATTTGGATGCACCGTTATTTGTAACATGGTTTCAATGTATTGTAAGCGTTGTTATATGCATAACTCTTACCAATTTATCTATATTGTTTCCACAATATCTTAAATTTTCTAATGGTGATCCATTTAAAAGAGAGACAATAAAACAGGTACTGTTTTACAATATATTCTTTTAATTGTATTCTAAGAATTTTATAGATTTTATTTTAACTTTATAGATATTACCATTATCTATACTCTTTACTGGAATGATAGCTTCAAACAATTTATGTTTGAAATACGTTGGAGTTGCATTTTATTATGTGGGCAGATCATTAACTACCGTGTTTAATGTTATTTTCACTTATTTAATACTTGGTAAGAATGATGTGTATAAATATTAAAGAAATATTAAACAAATTTTGCTTTTTTTACAGGACAAAAAACTTCATTAAAATGCATTTTATGCTGTTGTATGATTATTACTGGATTTTGGCTTGGCGTGGATCAAGAAAATGATGCAGGTTCTTTGTCTGTTTTAGGAACAATATTAGGTGTAGTTGGATCATTAATTCTCTCTTTATATTCAATTCATACTAAACAGGTTCTTCCTGCAGTAAATCAAGATATTTGGTTACTTTCTTATTATAATAATTTATACAGTGTTTTCCTATTTATACCTTTAATGCTGTTTAACGGCGAACATTTGGTAGTTTACAATTATGACAAACTTGGAGAACCCTTTTTTTGGAGTGCAATGGTCATAGGTGGTATTTGTGGTTTTGCAATTGGCTATGCTACAGCTCTTCAGATAAAAGTAACATCTCCCTTAACACATAATGTTAGTGGTACTGCAAAAGCTTGTGCACAAACTGTTTTAGCAACATATTGGTTTAATGAACACAAGTCATTTTTGTGGTGGACTAGCAATATTATTGTTTTAAGTAGTAGTGCGGCTTATGCAAGATTTAGACAACTTGATTTAAGTGCAGAATACAAAGTTGAAAGATTGCAACAAAAAGTATGAAATATACTTATGGATTATACAGTAGGATATTAAAAAGAGAGAAAGAGAGAAAGAAAGTTCCTAGTTTATTATAATTCTATATCATTTATTTAACAAATAAACTATAAAAAATTTTTCATATAGCAATGTACATAAAATAAAATAATGTAGCATTTATAAATATTTGTGTATACTTTTTATCACTGTATAAAAATTATATCAAAAGTAAAAATTTTTAAAATCTAGATGCAAGACCACCTCCACGACTATCAGAATGACTTGTTATCAAATCTTCGTGTTTTATAATAGCATTTACACTTTTTGATATTGAACTGGCATCAATATTTGATATAGATGTCGATTTATTTTGTAATACAGTTTTTAATATATGTAATTGGTCATTTTCTATACTAACACCATCAGATAAAAGATAGTATCTAAAAAATATAGTACTTATAATTATATATATATAATATAATTGACAATTTAAATATTTAAATGAATGTACCTTGGATGTTCAATGGCAGAAGAAACATTTAGACCTCGTACTATCAAATGGTACAGAAGTTGGCTACTTAAAATTGTATCATCAGTCCCAAGTACTCCACGTAATTCACATGATTTTTCTTCATTATGAAAAATAATTGGAAGTAGCGTTGATAAATCATTATCATTATTAGTTTTATCTAGTAAAAAGCCAGTGCCAGTCATGTGGGCCAATCCTAATGGTGCACTTAGTCCACTGCATAATTTAATTAAAATTTAATTTTTATTAAATATTGAAGGATTTTTCACATTACGTATAATAGTGTATATAAATACTAACGTCAAAACACTGACATAAGTATCTTGTCCATCCATTACCATGACACCAGTATATCTTTCTTCTTCAACTAAAAAAAATGAATAAATTAGCAAATTTATAGCTCTCATTATAAGTTACATTTATTACTAACCATTTTTTATCATTTCTAGAGTCCTTAAATTAGAATGCAATAATGTTTGAGCAACAAGAGCCATAGTTTCAGTTTTAGATGCAATTTCAGGAGATATTTTGAGATTTTCTAGTGCAGTTATTGAAGATTCAAAATCAAATGCACCTGAGGGATAGTATAATAAATGTTTATAAAATGAAATTTTTTTTGCTGTACTCATTTCAGGTTTGTAATGTGCTAATTGTAGTAATAATTCCTCTTTCTTAACTTCATCACGTAAAAGTTTTAATGACAATGTCCCATTATATAATACTGAGAAGAAAATCATGTTATATATCTGGTATATTTTCTTCTTATAAATTTATATAATAATGAATTTTCAAACTGTTTACCAATTGTGCCATTCTTTGCAACTGCATCTAATGTATCTGCAAGATCATTTAATTTTAAAATACCACCAGCATTTATATGACCATAAAGCATCCCATAGTCACTGTTATTTGATAATTCATATTCTAATTCTTTTGATACTACAAATCCTGTTCTAGCTAATTTTGCAGCTGGTTCTATAATTTCATTCCATGGTAAAACTCCTTTTAAAACGTGCGCAAATTCTAAACCTTTCAAAACGGCAGGTAAACGCATTCCTATTGTGCCAAAAATACCTGCATTTTATAGTAATAAGACTGATTGAAATCAGTTAAATAATCAAAGATTTTTAAACACATTTTTGATAAATCTATACTGACCTCCAACAGTATTGTTCGCAAAATTGATGACTAATGGTTCCGATTTATCTTTATGGCTATATAACATCATACAGCCACCTCTGAAAGAATATAAATATTATACATATTTAACAATATGTATTCCTCTAATTACTTACCCACCAAGACCTGTTTTATGTGGAGCTACTACTGTCATACATACAGTAGCTGCTATAGCTGCATCTATTGCATTACCACCCTTTCTTAATATTTTAGTACCTATCTGTGAACAATTAGTATAGTCTGTGGCAACAGCACCATGAATACTGTTATTAGCCTAATGAATAATATTAATATTTATAGTTTCATTTGAGATATCCATATAAAAAGAACATATTAAGTCAAAATATATACCTGTAATAATTTACTGGCATAAACCAATTGTAAAATCAGTATAGTTGTTATAGCAAAGGATAAAACAGCAAAGCAACATACAATCAATTTCATACCACCACCAAAAAAGTGGCTTAATTTACACTTGTTGTTTTTGTCCTGTGTCAATGGACATTCTTCTGTTAATCCTTCTAAAAGTTTAATGTTTATTAAAAAATAGGTAAAATTATATCTCTTATAAGTATATCTCTTATAATTATATCTCTAATAATCAAATCAAAAATATTTCTAAAGATTTTTAGAACATAAAATTAAATTTTGTTACACTTACGTCTGTCACAATAACTCATCTTTCAAATCGAAATTTATACGATTAATTATAAGGATCATCTATGTTTTTAAATATTATTTTCCTCTATGTAGATATTTTATTAGCATACTATGTCAAAATAACTGTAAATTCGATAACCTCATTTATAATTCTAGTTTCATCTATTTTTTACTTAAACGTATTACCCAAAAATTATAAGAAGATTTTTTTATCGCATGAAGCAATAATGTCGAAATAATGTTGCAAAATTCAAGTTTCAAGTTTTAATACCATATCCTTTATTCAATTTGATTTGTTTTTGTATACTTCTGACTGACGTAAGATATTTCTGACGTTACTCACTAGATGGAGTTACGATAAAATTATACAGTACAACTGTGCAACAAAAGTTGCAAGGTACAATTTGTATCTTACTCATAAGTTAGTTAATGATATATAGTATAATCAGATGAATGGCGTAATACTACGAAAAATCAACTCTTTCGATTATGTCTACGCAAAAACTAATCAATAACAATAACATATGAAAAATCTATATAGCAATTTTATCAAATAAAAAAATAGTAGATACACTAGTATATCGAGATAGAAAGTTTTGTTGCAGGAATTCAACTATACTTATTCTTAGCATTAAACATAAAGCATATAAAAATGTTTTCCTTTTATTCTATAATAACATTGCTTTTTAATGATTTCACGTTCCAATTGTACAAAAGAAGGCTGTGTTCTTTATAGAGAATAACAGTAATAATGGATGCGAACGCCATAGAGGTCTTGAACGTTTCGCAATTTGGTGTAGCTCCGTTGCTAGGTAATTTTATGTATTCTTCTTCACGGAGAATGGTACTGACCTTCTCTTTCTCTTTCTCTTTCTCTCTTTCTTTCTCTTGATCGTTATTCGGTGTCACAATGGTATTACGGTCAAGCAATTTTCAATCGTAATAACAACGTGAAGTAAAGTATCATAATATAACAAGGAAAAAAGGGTATCCGTGTTTTTCTTCATTGATAGAGAAATTGGTATTCATATTTATACATACAACCAAACATATCGTTTCACGATACGCAAGTAAATGCAACGTTACCCTGACTAGAGATTGTCGTTGAGTTTATAATAATAATAATAATAATAATAATAATAATAATAATAATAATAATAATAATAATAATAAATAATAATAATAATAATAATAATAATAATAATAATAATAATAATAATAATAATAATAATAATAATAATAATAATAATAATAATAATAATAATAATAATAATAATAATAATAATAATAATAATAATAATAATAATAATAATAATAATAATAATAATAATAATAATAATAATAATAATAATAATAATAATAATAATAATAATAATAATAATAATAATAATAATAATAATAATAATAATAATAATAATAAAAATAAAAATAATAATAATAATAATAATAATAATAATAATAATAATAATAATAATAATAATAATAATAATAATAATAATAATAATAATAATAATAATAATAATAATAATAATAATAATAATAATAATAATAATAATAATAAAAAAACACAACGCGCTTCTCTCTAGAGCATTAGGTAATCTTACATTCTTTAGTAAAGTCAGGAACAGAATTAGTGATCACGATCAATGGTTATTACGTTCGATCGAATTGAAAAAACTTAAAAAGTGTCTTCCTTTTCTTTCCATAACATCAGATTTGGGCCTATGTTTATGTGTTCTGTACAATTTGTCATGTGATTTCTGCAAATGTAATTACGATATTTTTTACACAATGAAAAATTAGAATATCTTAGTTGTTGAATATACTTACAAGAAAGGATCTCTCAAAATGAATGCTCTTGGTTGCATTAATTTCAAGTGATCTCCGTTGTTGCATAGAACTTGCGCCATCGTACTTTTACGAATCTCTTCTAATTGTTTTATCATGAAGGATCCTGGCGTGTTAGCATTCTCGTACCAATACCTATCGCCTGTTAAAACGATTTGATAAAAATCGTAAAATATTTATCAAAAATAATTTTTTACTAATCATTTGGATAAACTTAAACATTAATTTAAACATGGATTTCTTTATTACCCAAACGAACATTTCGGAAGGTACGTCCTAGCAAACAGAGAAAAGTTGGTCCAAGGACCGAATTAGTTACTGGTGCTTCCGAGAGTATTCCTGTCACTAAATCTATATCTTCAACTTTTCTATTGTAAAAAAAAAAAAAAAAAAAAAAAAACACATTAACTTGTTTTTCAAACGATAATGTATGTACTTATAAGTACATATAAATGTAATTCGTCTTACTTGTAAACTAGTCGTAATCTTTCGATGATGTCCTTGGCTATCGTGCCTTTAAGATCCTGAAAGGTGGTAACGTCTGGTAAACCGCAAAACGTTCGCCATTTGACGTAAGATGGTAAACCATGATCTCTGCCTTGTTGGATGATTTGAGCAGCATAATCAACGGCCACGTCATTGCTCTTCCCATCATGGAAATATCGCTCCAGAAGGATTTCGTTCAAGCCGGGGGGTAGAGGCTTCCTAGAATGTCCCGCTGTCGCGGAAATTAGACCTTGCATCCTAGATCGTCATTAAAACCAAGTTCTCATGGGACAACTTGTCGGAGAATCTCCTAATGATTTTTGTTTTGTTTGTTTAAATAAGATTTCGTTGTTATTTAAAATTTATCTTTCTCGAAATGTCACAATGAATATATGCATATACGAGTTGTGATTGAAACATTTCAAAAATTTTCTTATTTTCTGCTTGATTATATCTGAAGAATAATAATAAAAATTAAAAAAATTTATTTTTCCTTCTACGAATAAGAAACATAAATATTGACAACAGTTTTTTTTTGAGGGAATTTAAACGAAAAGATGAATGATTTCATTGGAATCACAAACATCATATAATATAAACCTTTTAATGAATGAGAAGTAAATATTAATAACATTTAAAAAAAAACATAATAAAACAATTTTGTTGAGAAGATTCTTATGAAAGGATTAAAATTTTATTGTCAATATAAGTAATGTTTTATATAATTTTTGAATTGTTTGATCACTCTACACATACACATATATAAGTCGGATAACTTCTAAATTTTTATTTTACGATTACAGTAACCAAACGTCGTTCATTAACGAAAAGGATACGAGTAATTTTAACTGACCTGTAGCTCCTGCTATCAATCGATCGATTGCACCCGCCTCGTACAATTCTTGAGGTGCGTAGAAGGCCGAGAGAAGAGACCTTTCCCCAGATTTTAGGGCAGATCTAGAGTCCACGAGATCGAGTGTTTTTGGTGTGAGTGCAGCAACGAAAAAGAGACCTGCTGAGGCTGCCGAATTCGAAAGAGTCGCATCAGTGCGTGAATCGTATCCTCGAAAGTATCCTTCTTGAGATAGCCGCAAGTCGAATCTTTTCGTTTAGAAAAAAAAAAAAGAAAAAAATAACAGGAGTGTGAAATCTTTAATGAAAGTGAAAGTCAACATTTCTTTTCCATATGTATGGATAATTCTTTAGAAGCAAATTTATATTATGAACATGATCAATTTTACGTTATATCGTGATATTGGTATGATTAACGTAATATATAAAGGAAAGAATAACAGAAGACAGGGAGTAAGTACGAAGACATGCGAACAACTTGACAAATGGAAGTACGAGGAAGGCTCAGTGTTAAGATGAGCAATCTCCGATCGATCCGTTGGAACCTTAACGTTGTTATCTCAACGTATAAGTTGGCAAATGAACGGCAAAGGGCAGCAGACGAGTCGTGATCGACATACACGTGCAGAGATATTAATAGCTCAGCACGCTGATGCGATCAAGTTAACGGCACGTTTATATTCGATTTGCTGTCTCTTTATGGAAATGTGTTAGTGTTTCGACGCATTGTACAGAATACAGCAACCCCTTTAAGTTTGTTGAGATCGATGTCACTTTTCATTTATGATCAATGATTTATGGGATTTTAGAAGAAGAGTTAAGGAGTAAAGATTAGAAAAAAACACGAAAAAAAAAGATGAAAAAGCCTACTTGTCCAAACCCGTTTCTCCAAATATGACAGGTAGGAACTCGTTGTAAGTTATATGTTGCATTTCAGCAATGACGATTCTTCTAGCTTCCTGATAGAGTTTCTCGTCGTCCCATTGAGGATTCAACTTGGCCAATTGCTCAGCTACTCGATTGTGTTCACGTAGAAAGATTACGTGCATCAGTGTTAAGCCAGGATGTTCGTTTACTCTGGAATCACCACTGAGGAAACAAGGGAAAGCTTTATTCACACTTCTACAAGTTTCAGACTCCGGTGATGGCATCGGTAAATTTCTTCTTTGAGTATTCAACAAGCCACCTTTGCCCGAACGCAAAGCTTTGGATATTTCCTCTGAGCTACCGTACAGCGGAGATAAATCCAAGTAAGAGGAGGCTTGATTAATCTGCTGCCGTGGGCCCAGCTTGCAAGCCTATATTCATTTTATTCTTTACAACGAAAGAAGTTATTCGAAGAAGAATGTATTAATCATAGAAGTTACTTACTTGTAAGGAATTACCAGGATGTGGTGCAGATCTAGAATACTCCATACAGCCGATCGCATTATTAGCTTTAATTGGGAAACACTCGGGATGGAAATTTTCATAATCAACGTCGCAACATTTCAATCTGGTACCATCCGGTAGCTCCATCCTAGGTGTATGAGCTAGATCGTGAGCAAGAAATTGGGCGAATAATGCTGTAAGTGCCATCAGATATGGATGTTTCAGATCTTGACCACCCGAATGAATACTGGAAGAGACTTCTCTGGAACTAGGTAAATCGGTTCGTGGCAAAGACACTCCGTCTTGATATTCTGGTGGTAGAAGCCTGATGTAGGCCTCTAAAGCAGCACCCCAGGTTGGATGTAACACGTTGTTACATCTTCCAGTGAATGATCTATATCGTGGATCGATCTTCTTACATTCAGACATGATCTTCAAGAGATTTGGGGGATCTGAACAGCCAAATGCAGCGACTGAAGGTAGAACAGATGAGGCCTCCTTCGAAGACATATTCAAAGCTTCTACCAACATCACAGACATCGTTTCGATCCGTAAAGCTTTCCTTGAAAGATTTTGAGCATCTTTGGTCATCTCATGAGAAGCACCAAGATACCACGAGGGTGAACCTCTACTCAGATGCGTCTTCGAATTCAGAATCATTCGTTCCGCTTGATCATACCTCTCCATCGAGGCGTTCGTACGCCTACCCAAATCTTGTAGCATCCTCGGCGGCAAGGTCGTACTCTCAGCGAGCGCCAGCAACGCGAAGAATCTGCGGATCGGAATCTAAGGATAGAAAATACCTACTTATCCACTTTCACAGCTCGGAATACTGCAAACTCCTTCCTTTTAAATGTTCCTTACTATATTTCCTATGGAATATACCCTTTTTTTTATTATTTTCACCTTGTTATTATGCAGCGATTGTCTTGGCAAATTCAATGACCGTGTTGCACCACACGATCCAACAGTAAAGTGATAAGATCATGATCGCGAGAAGACAATCGAAGGGGTGGCTAAGAAGATATGTATTGTATAAGGATATGCGTTCTTATACGATACTTGTATCCGCATTGTGATAGTAGGGTTCGAATAATTTTACTAACTTTGGACTTTATTATCGATCCTTAGTTTGTCGACTATATTTTTAGAATTTGATAACAAATTTACAATAACAAATATATTAGATTTTTACTGTTTTTGTAAAATACTTTCGTACATTTTCTCGGGTACTAGAATAAAAGATTTTACCGATCGAGAAACATTATACATACGTGTTCGATTCAGGAATATATATACTGAAATCTTGTGCGATTTTTTCCACATTAAAACGTTGCAACGGCAACGTTCGAACGTATTATTATGTAGATCCTTTCGTTGTGTATCGTAGGATCGCAATGAACTCCAAAGACCTTGTCTATAGGATGGCATTTCGCCTCGTTCCATAGTGGCCATTGTTCGCGGCAAACATTTCGCTGCGAACAATTTCATTCATCGCGTCGCTCGAGGCTAATTTCTCGGTACCATCGTACCAACTGATTTTTCGATGGAGAGAGTTAGTATTCATCAATTATTATATAAGATCGACAGACCAATTCGAGGTCTTCATAGGAGGTCGGAGTTATCTTCTGACTGACATTTAGGATTCTTCCTGGTTCTTTTACTATTTTCCTTACGTAACGATACTCTTCGGACTCTCATAATTAAGAAGCATCTAATACACCAATATTCATGGAATCGGTTTTCGTCGAATGAAATTTTTCGCGTAATCGTTTCTATTCTAATTTTTTATCTTTTTCTTCATCCCGGAAAATCACGAGATACAATTATTATTTATTGATAATTTTTGTGAATAATTAACAATAGAGAGAAATTAATTACCTATACGATTATTATATTAGTTTTATTTCGTAAGTTTCGAAATCTCTGACAGTTGAATGTTGATAAAAATCAATCCTCTCTATAACTATTACTAATATTATTATTATTTCTAAAACAATATATACGCGAGCGCGTATTTTATTATTTCGCTATCGATCTCTATTTAAATAGATCTCATTGCTCGTAAAGCATTCAACGCAATGTGCTAACCTTTTATACGTACGTACACATATAAAGAGAACTTCGGACGGAGAGCAGCAAACACAAATTGTTATAGTAACATTTTCACACACTTTGCAAGGCTACAATTTCGTAACTCTGCCATTTCTCTGTTCTCTTATCTAACGTTAAAAGGTATTTAGGGTATGTATTAGAGTTGCGCTATGAGATTTGCCTTATCTTGCGACGAGAGTAACATGACAATTATAATTTTGTACAACAAATGCTAGCTTTAAACTAAATACCTGCACAAAAGCATTGCTGCTTTGTAATTTTTTGTTACGTTCGTCACGAAAGGTCAGTTACGTCTTTATGCATGGAAACAAGTGAAAGCGGAGCATTCTTATATGACTATAATAAAGAATAAGAAATCTTTCTTTCGTTGATTGTATTATTGATCAAAGATTTGTTGAAAATTAATTACCGACAAGGATTAACACATTTTTATCATTATTTTACGCTATAGCGAAAGATCAAAAGATTGGTAAAAAATGTGCATTTGTCGCATTTTTACAATGCATTGATATTTGCCAAGTCACGTGTTTCATATTGATACATACGCGATCAATTTTACATAGTCGATCTTTTAATTAAAGCTCTTTGATGGAACGTAATTTCAATAATTTCAACGTTCTACGATCACCGAAGCATGGAAGGAAAAATAATCGCTATTATCATCGATTACGATTTATCTTTCCAGCTAGTTCGCGCGATCACGAGAGGTGTAGTATCGAACGCGCGAAGAGCGAATGATCTCACGTTTCCAATATCAGTTAACGTCGTCAAACTATAAAGAAACTTAGATTATCCGATTAGTCTCCGGAGAACATATAAATTGCTATCGAACTACTAAAGTATTCAAAGTATGAGAGAGAGAGAGAGAGAGAGAGAGAGAGAGAGAGAGAGAGAGAGAGAGAGAGAGAGAGAGAGAGAGAGAGGGGAGAGAGAGAGAGAAAAAGTGAGGGAGAGAGAGAAAGAGAGGAGGAGATAGATATGGGGAAAGAGCAAGATATGGGGAAAGGGGGATCGAAAGGAAATTTAACTTCACGGTAATCGAATTGTTCGTGGGTAAGCACCAGATTATTAACACTCTCATTTTCGTTTAATCCAAGAAGTGATCGTTATCAATCCCAGTGGATCGCATCGGCAAAATGAAAAGACTGATTAAAAAAAAACAAGAAGAAAAAAAAATAAAAAAGAGAGGAACAAACAAATAAAAATATAATATAAAAGAACACCAATGAAAAATCACGGAAGCGATTAGAAACGATAAGAATCGAAAATCGCACTCACCGCGTAGTAAGGGTAAACAACATGCCGTCAGATTGATTTCGATGTTCCAGAGATGACGTAGAATAATAAGAGAAGGACAATGTACGCGAGGGTTAGTCCGCGGAAGGTGAGAACCGTTATGTAGTTCTAAACGCACGGTGGCATTCACGCAGCTCTCGCACGTATCGCACTTTCGCAAGAAAGGCCGGAGTAATATACCGGCAGCTTGCTTGTATGCCTGAGAACGCAAGGAACGGGTAAACCTGAACTGAGAACGATGCGCGAACGAAAGTAAGACTTGAGTCCGTGTGGTCTTAGCGCCACTACCTAGCGGAGTGGGGCCCTCGAGACTAGGAGGACTAGAAGAGAGAAATGACTATACGCCGTAATACAGGGTGTCGACACGTTGCCGGACGTGTATACCAAAGGGGGCTCTGTACACGGTGTATTATTCGACTAGTAATGCGTTATACGCTGTGGTAAAAGTAGCCAAGCGATGCGCTAAGATTCTACAGTGTTACTACGAACGAGACCAAGGTTCGCCATGTTTCTCTCGTATTGTTCCTCAAACTTGTACAATCTTTTCTTCTTCTTATTTTTTTTTCCACTTATCTCTTTATGTATTATCTTACAATTAGAAAAGGTTCCGCGTCAAAGATAATCGTCTATCTGTCGATTAGTTAGTGATTAGTGTCAAGTATGCACGCTCGCTCACACCTACATCCTTAAATCGATCGTACAAAGAATCACGGTTGGTACCTGAGCATAAAAGCTATGAGTTATGTATACCTGTGTGTATACTTCTGTTTCTATGTGTACATGTATATATATGTGTTTGTGTCGAGTTCTTTTTTGCATAATACTTCAACGCTAGGTAAGCATCGTACAGTATCGTTAAGTTATGTTAATGAATGTGCGTGGGTCTGACCGTAACGACAAGCGTGGATTAAAATTCTTTAGAATGACATCGTGCGAATGATCGACGCTGATGGACGACCGCATGAGGCACGCCTACGTACACTGAAAATTTTCAGAAAAAATGCTTTGACTACGATAAATCTAGCCTGCGTATGTATGTCGCGTGTAGGAAGATCGGTCTCTTACACGAAAGCAACGCTTTCACTTCTCAATGATGTTCTTAGATTTTTTTTCTTCGCGGAAAGAAACGATTATATATAAGTTTATTAAATGTATTCGCTAGTTTAGTTTTTACAGATTAATTCGTGCCAGGTTACTCGATATTGCTAGGATTTGGATATATCTAGGGTTAACTACGATCATTGAAGACAGCTGCTTTTCCACAGGTATCCCAGCTCACTTTTATTATTTCCGCGCCGTTCCTGTCACTGATTACATTCTCCCGAGTTTCTTGTCGGTATTTAAATTGATTGATTGGTAGAGAAATTCTCTACCGTCTCTTACGGCATCACCATATAGTTACGGCTTTTAATTAAATGTCATAGATAATAATTTCTATAAGCGTACATCATCCGTATTATCAAGAACGGCTCCACTATAAGCCAAATCCCAATAATGCTCAACCTGATGCTTTTTGAAATGTTCTCGTGCCATCTTTTCGATTGGACACACTTTGAACTTTATCTCACCGAAATGACGTTGCTTGCTCGTTCCTTCCCAAACGAGAACGCATTTATTCGGAACGTCATTTCCATCATTATCCTTTACGATATCCTCTTCCCATTTGATACGATGCATCATTAATCGTTTATATTTGCTAAGTTGTTTAGCTCCGCCTTCGACGATTACGACGTTACAATCTCGGAAGAGCATTACACAGCCAGTAAGGTATAGCTGTTTTGCATTTGTCTCAACTTTGAATTTTTTGGATGCGTTATTCACGAGATCGCGTATTCTAAAAGAATCAAAAGTCCTTATAATATATGTTCGTATTATTCCTGTCATATATTTATAATTGTGTGTAATGTATTTTAATAAAGATTATAAAAAAATATAAATATATATTTCTTTTATGATCGTACCTATAAACAGCCACATGTACTCCAAGGCTAGTATCTTCCTTGAGTTTCCTCGCTTTTTTCTCTCTACGTTGTTCAGCTGTTAATCGTCGGGCTGCATTAGCGTCCTCATGAGCCTTCAACCTTTTGGCCATTTGTTGTCGTACGTGAGCTTCGATCTTAGTAGGATCTTGTACTGCTTCGGTACCTAAGACTCGCATTAAGTTTGAAATACGTAATTTTGGTTCTGGTGGAGGTTCTAATCCTAAACGAATTTTTTCTTGTTCTTCTTTCCACGCCTCTCGCCTATTCTGACGACGCAATTTCTTCCTTTCCTTTTTTGTAAGAAACACAGGCATGTAGATAGGTTTCAATGGATCAGCTGAAAGAAAGAATTTAGGATATAATTAACAGAGAATATATATTATGTTAATTTATTATAATTTATCACTTTAGCAGAACATACTTGGCGGTCGCATTTGCGTTGGATGTTCTACTAAATTTGTAATCGTCGAGGTTTTGATCGTCGTTGGTTCATCCTCGTTTGGATATCCACCTGTTAATATGACAGAATCCCACCATTCTATATTTGGTACATCTTCGCTGAGAGCTTCCGTTTTCGGTGCTATTAGCGCTAATTTTGTTGCCGAACTTATACCAGTCTTTCTAGCTATTTGACTAATTTCATTCTGAAGTTTTTCTAACTGTGCTTTCATACGAATTCTCTCCGCGAGTTGTTGGAATTTACCCGGTTCATGGAATTTTAAAGAACGCTTATTACGTACTGCTGGTTTCACTCCAATTCTAGTATCAAAAAAGTGCGTATCTTGTATTTCTTCTGGACCTTTCGATTCTTGCAACTGAGCTTTAAATTCTTCTCTCTTTTTTGCACGAATATTAGCTTTCAATGTTGGTACTACCTGCGTAAGTTGTACCTCCTTTCCAGTTATGTCTACGGTCCTTCCTGATTCATCCAAGATCAAAGGAGTCGGTTTGTCTGGCACTGCGACATTACTAAGCAATCCAGAACTTAATTTGTTTCTGATTTGTGCTTGGAGTGCAGCAATTTTTCGTGCTTTATCAGAATCTGTTTTGCTTAACAGACCTTGATTATACATACTGCCTACATTCGGCAATGAATCCCTGGCTTTAAAGAGAGGCCTCACAGGTAGTACTTCTTCTTGCTTAATAGCTTTCAATGCCCTTTTTCTTTCTTCTATCTCTCTTTGGGCGTTAGCCATCATTTGCCTTATCTGAAAACAACAAAATCTATAAAAACTCTTACGATATACAGTACAATTATTTTCAAATATAGAAAGATTATACTACCTTGTCTGCGGATAGTTGAGTTTCTGCAGGTTTTTCATTTTTTATTTCGTCATCTTTGAACTTAGGCTTTTTAGCATCTTTTTCCTTTTCCTTGTCTTCCACATGATTACGTTTTTTACTTTTTTGTGCAGCTTTGATGTCATCGTATATTGCAAATATCTTCTCTGTTAATTTGGAAGCTTTTTTATCTTCTAATAAAGCGGATAGTTTATCTGGAAAAAAACAAAAACGAAATTATAAAAAATATGTATATAAATCGTTCAATAAAAATTGAAATATATATAACACATTTTATCATTTTTACCTGCCGTTTTACGTTTATCATAGCCAGAAGTAATACAATTGACAGCCGTAGTAACAATAGCAGGTTCACCGAAGCCGAGAAATTTATTTACGGCCTTTTCAATTTGTGGCTTCATTTCATCGATCTCTTTTCTCGTTAAATACGACATTTTTTAATTTTTGTTGAAATTATTAAAAACGGAATCTGCAGTACAAAGTGCAAGAATATAAGTATTTTCCACAACATAACCTCTGTAAATTTTAGATTGAGACGGAGTCTTCTCAATCTGCCACTAGGCGTCGCATATTTAAATCATGAATGCATATACTTACAAGAGTATCGATAACACATCTTAATTATATACGAGTTCTAAACATTCAATTCTTATCCCATTCTAAGTATATAATCAAGTTTAGGATTAGGCCTGTTCGTTTAGCTTTATTATAATTGAATTCCTATAGAGTTAATATAGGACAAAATACCATAGCAACCAATCAAAGGATTCATAAGATAAGATGATGAGCACTTATGGATAAACCTTTATTATACTATTATATTTAATCTTCGTTATTTTGTACTAGTGAGAGTATTAATAATCATTTTGTATGATGTTAATTATTCAATACATTATTTATCTTATAAAAAATCACGCATGACAACGCAAATATACTGTTTTGTTAACTTTTCTTGATAATTCGATATATCTCGAACGCAATTTCTCGATTGTATGAACCAATGAAGAGCCTTACTTTCTGTAGAAGATGTACCAATGAGATCGAAGCATTGTAAACGCGGTTTTTCAAATATTTTCAAATCTGAAAATTATTTTGACGAGTATAGCAAACAAATTATTCACAGATTTTATTTTATTTTCAGTAATATAGCGTTAGGAAATTCTTAATATAAAAATAATTTACTTTACTTTTTATTATACTAATATAAAATTCGTATTTATAATCTTGTTTAATTAAAATACTCTTCGAGTTAGAACGGTTCGTAATTGCAAAATTGAATTTATATCACATTAATGTTCAATAAAATCGTTGAGCGTCCGATTCATGTATATTTTCCAAAAGATGGATAGTACTTGGACGATATAAGAGAATCTTATCCGAACGAAATATATAAAGGTTTAAGAGCTTGAAAGCGGTTACGCGGGTGGTAGAATAGTAGTGGACCGACAACCACAAATGAGAATGGTAGAGAGAAGTACAGTGTTCCACGCTTCCCTGGTGACCGATGAGACCAATTCTGTGAACCACATTTGCTTCATTCCGAGGCTGTTGCTCTAAACTTTTCTGTTAATTGAAACGAAGGAATTGGAATTCTGCCCACCGTTGTTCTTGTTTATGTTAGCGCCGATTAATTTCGTACATTATGTTTTGTAACTTATATATTTCGTCGAAACAATTTCTATTTTATTTTATAAATATCGAAATATATATATATATATATATATATATATATATATATGTATATATTTATATGTATACGTATACACATATACATTTCACCTATGTATATTTCATGTGTATGTATATGTATATTTCATAGTATGTCACGGAAACAAAACTTTATCAAGCTTGGCGATAACAACGGCGATGTCGCGGCAATGCAAACGTGGAAGAGCGGCAAGAGGGTAATATTCAGTCAGGGTTGTATCGGGACAGTCGTGTTTCTTCGTAAATTTAACGATTTTGCGAGGGAGACGACGGGGGCACGTCCCGAAATGATGTACGGCTCGCTCGTATGACTCGGCAGCTAATGCTCTAATATGCGCAAAGGGTGCCATGCCCGTGTCACGCGGATTACCGCTAATTGTAGTTTATGCTTTATACTACGCTATTCTCTTGTACGTCGTGTGCCGTACCGGTGGTGACTATCCGATCTACAGGGTGGCTAAGTCAAATCGAAACGATTGAAGGGTCGTTCTATCGAAATGAGAGATGTAAAGATAATGTTCTAATTCTTTTTAAAATTTTTCATATTGTTTCATATAATTGATAATTAACTCCGTAAAAATCGTTCAATGATTTTTCATTAATCTATTAAACGTCATATTAGTAAAAATGTCGTTTATCGTTTTTTCTATTTAATAGAACACCCTATATAAATGAGGGAGAAAGAGAGAGAGAGAGCAGTCAGAGGGTGCGCGCTCGCGTGGAACTTGCGTATACACGTACGCGAGCATTCGAGGGCGCCCGATAGGGCACACGCGAGGACAGAGAACTCGGACTTCCTAGCGGCCTAGCATGTCATGTCCGCGTGTCAGTCAGTCGCGCTAAAATAACCGGCCACCGCACCCTTGCCACGCAATTACGCGTTTATATCTACCGTCTATAAGCGAATACGAGATCGCGCTCTATGTAGAGCGTACGTTCTTTGTCTCTTCTATCGGTTTTAATTTTTTTGTATTTATTTTCTTTTTTAGTTTCTCTCTTTTTTCTCTTTCCGTCTCTCTCTCTCTCTCTCTCTTTCTCTCTCTCTCTCTCTTTCTTCTTTTTATTAAATCGATAAACTTTTACAGGCATAAAAAACTTTTTATATTATTTTTTAGTTCTAACTGAATTTTGTTTGTTTATTTTTTTCCTTTTATTTTTGAAGATTTATCTTTCTTTTCTTTTTTTTTTTGTTCTTTGTTTTTTTTTTTTCTTTTTTTCACTCGACGTTCACTTCGACGTCGTCGCTCTTGACCTATTAATTTCGAATGCACGCCATGCCGTTATTGGTCCCCGCTTAAACGTAATTCCATTTATCGTAAATCATTTCGGCTCGATGGGATTAATCTGACCGCGAGAAACGTGTAAAGAGAGAGAAAGAGAGAAAGAGAGAGAAAGAGAGAGAGAGAGAAGCTTAAACTATGTCCACCGTTTTCTCTCTGTTGGAACGATGGGCTTGATAATGTCAGACGGAACTTATGCGCAGCTTTGTGTCGTTAATCTTCGAGTCACGGGATTGCTCGAGCCGTAAACGTAATCTACTAATCTGCAATGTTCTTAGTTTCCAAGCGCGTCTTCTATCTTAATTTTAACCCTCGTATCTGTTTGTACGTATTAACACTGTACAGAATCGTTGGTCTTAGGAGTTGGAGTTGGGATTGGGGAGTGGTGCTGGTGTTGGTACTGGAGTGTTTGGTAAGATCGAAGAAAGCTACGTTTACATAGAAATTTTCTATGCGAAGGGTTCGTGAAGTGTGCGAGGAAAAGAGAATTAGCGGAGCACTTTGGCAGACAAAAAATATTCAACTTCGAACTCGGTAGAAGGGATGAAAAAAAAGAGTATAATAAATTAGCAAGCGTTAGAAAAGCCGTTCGATTTACCTTACCTTGACCGCTCTTCTTGGTTTATTATAATTAAGGACGTAGAAGGAAGTTTGGTCGTGATATTGAGAGAAGTAGAGTACATTTTCTATAATATATTTTACATTATAAACCAACCATACATCATCATAATAATATCTTATATCCTTAAGCCTAAGCGTATTTTATCCTATGTTCTCGTTTATATACTTCATTCATATTTATACTTTGTTTACTTTTTTTCATATAGTATTTATATATATATTTTTTATTTATATTCATCATTTTTTGTTTTTATAATATACTTTATATGCTATGTTTATGTATATATAATATCATACACGTTTTCTCACGCACGTCCCAGGGCGTCTCGCGATTCTATTGTACGTGTGAGACTTGTCTCTAGAGGTATCTCTCTCTCTCTCTCTCTCTCACTCCATTTCACTTAAATTTTTTTTTCTTGTTGCACCCTTTCCCTATCTCTCCCTCTCTTTCTCTACTACTCTCCCACGCTCTTTTCGCTCCCTTATTATACCAATGCACTTTCGTACGTGCAGCACGCGTAAGTGTATATATGTGTGTATGCTGCGTAGTTGTGTGCATTTGACTTTGGTGATGTACTAAGTGTAAGTATGTGTATGTGTGTATGTGTATTATTTGCAATATCTCTGTGTCTCAGTGTAACTGGATATACGTGTATGTTCTATGTGTATCGTCGGCTATCCGTCGCGTTTTTGTGAAATTACATGTACATTATACAGGCTACGCCCGGCGTTGTTTCACGAAACTGTCCTTCGGTATATATACTGGAGCGCGCGCGCGCTCATACTATCTCCACCTCCTTTTTCTTCTCTTTCTCCTCCTCCTCCTTTTTTTCCTATTTTACTCCATTTCTACTCCTCGCCGTTTAAACTTAAATACGCAACGAGGCTGCCATGGGACCCCGCGGGCCGTTTTCTCATTGAATCACGCAAGTATACGTTACTTAAATCGTGTAAGCGCGCTCGAACGCCATTTTTACACCCTACCCTTATACACTTCCTCTCGTCCTTCCTTTCCTTCCTACATTTCACCCTCTTCACTTTCGTTTTTCGTTTATCTCTTTTTTCCTCATTTATCTTTTTCTTTGTTCTCTTGTTGCTTTCGTCGTGCACGGTCCGTTTCTTCTTCCATGCATCGCTTCGTCTCCTCCCATTAAACTACACATATACAGATACATATACACACACAGCATGTTCGAGAGCAAAACTTCTTCCGCAGCTTCTTGGAAAAAAGTCGGACGATGCACGATGGATGGATGTCAAAAACCGGCCCCTCTTTCCTCGAACTCCGTTCTGTCATTTCACCCTTTTTTTTCACCCTACCCTCCCCTTCTCCTCTTTAGCATTTATCTTCGCAATGATTACTGACTTTTCCATTCTCTCTCTCCCTTTCGCTCTTTCTCTTTCTCTCTCTCCCTCTCGTTCGTTTTCGTTCTCTCGCGTTATCCTCGTTATCCCCTTCCAAGAATTACACGCACACATAACGATGTGGAAAAAGGCACCTAACTCCTTAGCGTACGGTCGTAAGTGATATGCCGCATGCCGCGCCGGGTTGGGGGTTTGGGGTTGGATGGGGGTGGACCGATTGCGTGGAGGCCCGTAACGCGCACGTCGTCTTCTCGTACGAAAAACTACGAAAAAATGAAGGAACGTCGTAGGTGTTTTTTTCTCTGTATGAATCGGACGCGATCGTAATTACCATAAATTTGATCTTTTTTTTTGTTTTTGGTAGCAACTCTCCTTCGTCTCTCCTTTTTTTTGGGACTTTTTTGTTTTTTTTGTTTTTTTTTGTTTTTTTTTATTTTTTTTTATTTATTTTCTTTAATAATATCCATTTTTGTATGTTTCCTTACACTTTTCCCTGTTTTCTCTCTCTCTCTTTCTCTCTCTCTGTTTTATTTTTCTTTGACTTTTATTGTTTTTTGGTTTATTTTGTTCTACCGAGGCGCGCTGTGTCTCTTTTATTT